GTCCAGACATGTAAATCCAAAGAACAAAAGTCAGTTGCCTACAGCGGAGCATAGCATAGATACTGGTTCAGAACCACCTCCTGCTACCTTCCCCAGTCCCAAAGCTACTAGGCAAAACATTTCAGCAATCAGTGCATGGATGGAAGCCTCTAAATTTTTTCTTGTTCTTGCTGACTCTCAGGTGAAGGTAAGATGCCAGGTGACAGAGCTACCTCAGATCAACAGCAGCTAAATGACAGCCCAGGCTCACTCTGGCCAGAAGCTGTGCATGCCCTCTCCAGCAACACCAGCAACTACTTGGGCACTCTACCCAGTGCAACTCTCTGCCTTCCACACCTCGCAAATCTGAGACTAGAGAGCAGAACAGAAAACAGAAAGTCCAAACTGATGTGTTTTCTTCATTAATTTTTCATGGTACTTAGGGCTTCTGAAAGATATTAAGCCTAAGTAGTTCATTTTTCATATGGTAAAGCTCACTAAAATTCTCGTCTCTAATATGCTTTTGTGCTATTATTTCAAGGAGAAATATCCCAACAAATTTCACTGTTTCATTCACATTGGATGAAACCGCAAAGCCACTCAGCACAGAACACTGTGCAAGAAAGAAAAAAAAAGTTTATCTTCATACTGACATTAATGCAGAGCCTCTGGAGTTATAGCTTCCAAAGTAAGGTCTTTGAGCCATTAATAGCTCCTTTTGTCTTTATAATTCAGCTCACTTCATATAAAATAAATTTTATATAGACTGAGTTTTTACACGCATATCAACTTTCCACATTGTAAACATAGCAATGAATATAAAAAATACAAATAGCCGTTCACTGGGGATGTTCAACACTTTACAACTACAATACTTGGTAGTTTTGATTGATACACTGATAAAAAACTGTACAGTATTAAAAAAAGCAAGTAATGCATGGATTATTTTAAAACTCAAAGACTTCTCCTTGCTTGCAGTCAATTTGGCATCTTAGGCTTGTACTAGTTTTACAGGACATACAGCCAGCAAAACACTTTTGTTACATTCAAGACTGCCCAATGAGTTATTAATGAAAACTTAATACAGAAAATTAGATCGCTTCAATATTGCATCGTTCTTTTTTTCTCAAACGCTATCCAGGTCTCGGATAACAATTCACAATTAACATGAGCACTTCAAAATCATCAATAATAAAACAGAATAATTCAAATAGCCAATCAAACTTGTACCTATAGTGCCTTCGGGCAACAAGTCCTGATGCCACTCTGCCTTCCCTCTCTCCCACACCGCAGTTGCCCAGAAAGTTATTGCTGTCCATTATGGCAAGTTCATGAAGGAAGAGTTCAATGGTGCTTTCATCCCATCCATCTTCAGGGCACTTTCCCTTCATATATAGAATATAGAAAGATAATTTATAAACTTGGGAATTAAGAACAAACACATGACTTGTTTGACTAATGCAGCTCTTGAATGCTGAACACCAAGAGAAGTTAAATAATGATTTTGCCATACATCCAATGCAATTCTGCTGGCGTACCTTGACATTAAGTCAGAGTACTTCTCACTTTCAAGAGTTCTGTAAGGCATACTCCAAGCCACTGCAGCACGCAGGAGTTGTTCACAACATGTGACACTGTGGATTACACGATGCATTCTCAACACACAAGTGTAATGCTACAGAAACTCAGCGGGTAAAACTGGGTGCAGAGAACTGGGATATTACAGAATCCAAAACATTCTGAATAGTAACAGCTGCAACACACCTTCACACCTGCACGTTTTATTACCCGATACGTCAGGAAGCTGCGGGCAGATTCATCAGCAACCGCAACAGACGCGCTCCTTCGTGCGCTCTGCCCTACGAACCGTGCTCAGCTCCGCCCACCGCGAAGCAGATCCCCGACGAAAGCCGCCCGAAGCGCACACAGCACCGTCACTGCCGCTCGGCGGGTCAGAGGTTGCTTAACTCGTGACAACAGAAGGAACCCGACCGCAGCGGGGTACGAAGGGCGGCACCGAGCAGAGCAGCGGGCTGCGCGCCCTCGAGCCGCAGGGAGGGAGGAGCCGCCGCCCCGCTCTCCGAGCCGCCCCCGCGGGGCCCGTTACCTGCTCCAGCAGCGCCCGCAGGAGCAGCTCGTGCCCGCGGCGGCCCTGCGCCCCCTGGCGCACGTAGGCGGCGGTCACCAGCCGCTCGCTGGACCCGAAGTTCTCCGCGTTCATAGCCGAGGGGCGGCGAGCGCGCCGCGGGCCGCTCTCCTCAGCAAGGGGCCGTGCGTGCGGTACCGCCGTCCGCTTCCCGCCGCGGCCGCGCGGGGCAGGTGCTGCGCGTGCGCCCCGCGGAGTCCCGCCTGCCCGCCCTCACGGAGGCTGCGCGCGGCCTCCGCCCGCCGCCGCTCGGGCCGGGTGAGGGGGCGGCGGGGGGCGGAGGCGGGGCGGCGGGGGGCGGAGGCGGGGCGGCGGGGGGCGGAGGCGGGGCGGCGGGGGGCGGAGGCGGGGCGGTGGTGGCGAGCCCGCCTGTGGCTGTACTGCGGGGACGGCGGGCTAAGCGTGAGCGACGTGTGCCCCCTTTCCGCTGCTCGCTGCTAACGCCTGGTCGGATTTGGCTCTGAGATCTTATCCGATCTTTCTCTCGCGCAGTTTTAAGGCTGAGTAACGTGAGAGCAGCGCACGGCGGCCGGCTCGTTCCGTACGTGTCGCTGGCCTGATGGGATCTGACGGGTGATTTGGCGGAGCAGTCCTGCGCAGCGGCTAGAGCTGTTAGCAAACAGACTGCGGTTAACCCAGTTTTCCACCGCTGTTAACATAAAGGAGCTTTGCAAATCGCTGCGTCCGGGCATCCATCGCTGCCTTTGGGGAAGGCAGAACCGCTCAGCTCGTTACTTCGACGCATCACGAGAGGGCGCTCAGGGGGAGCTGAAAGCGCGCCCTGCTGGGCGGGTTCGGTTCTCTGCCGCGCGTCCGTGATTGGGGCAGTGCGAGCGTGGGTGTGAGCGGGGGGGGGCGCAGTACGGAGAGAATGAGAGACTGAGGTGGGAAACGGATCAAAAGATTGAAAGGTTGAGGGAAATGGGCTTGTTTAGCTTGGAGAAAGCTCCGGGGAGACCTCACTGTGGCCTTCCAGTACTTGAAGAGAGCATACAAACGGGAGGGGGAACGGCTGTTTACGAGGGGGGAAGTGATAGGACAAGGGGGAATGGTTTTAAACTGAGACAGAGGAGGTTTAGGTTAGATATTAGGAGGAAGTTTTTCACACAGAGGGTGGTTGACGCACTGGAACAGGCTGCCCAAGGAGGCTGTGGATGCCCCATCCCTACAGGCATTGAAGGCCAGGCTGGATGTGGCTCTGGGCAGCCTGGTCTGCTGGTTGGCGACCCTGCACATAGCAGGGGGGTTGAAACTCGATGATCGTTGAGGTCCTTTTCAACCCAGGCCATTCTATGAGTCTATAATCAGACTTACTTGCATGCTTTCGTAACTTCAGACCAGGCAGCTAATGGAGAGCATCAGCTACTTGGAATTAAAGTTAATCATTTGCTAGTAACTGTTCTGCGATGTGCATTTTGTTTAATTACAGGCTGAACTGCTTAAAGACTGAAGCAGTGTGAAGGCTTCTGGGGATCAAACCAGGAGCAAGCTATGGAGTTCTTACTGCAGAACACCAAAAGTAAGAACTGATGGTGATCACACACACCACAGCTCACGTGAATGGCTCCCTGAGGCAGAACAAATAGCTCATGTGTTTCTTGTTTTACTTTTTTGGAAGAATTAATGTTCAAATCCTTGAAAAGCCCAGAGACAAACTGCATAGCAGTGTTTTCAGCTCCCAACTAGTGCTAAAGGGAAAGGCACTCAGTGATCTGCTGGGCAAAACGTGAGCCTTCTCCCCTTGAATTCTGACCCATGTGGTTGCTTCAGACAGCAGCTAATTGGTGGTATTGTCTGCACTGAAAATTATATTATCTGCTATAGCCTTTCTGTAGCTGTTGACTAGGCATAAAAGGCTACTCATTTGGAATCACAATTGTTTGTTCACTTTTTATTAAAAGAAATGGAAACAGAAGTGCACTGTGAGTGGATTTTTATCAGATGTGGCAGATATCAATAGTTACATAAGTGGATGGCATTGAGTTCCAAAGTCCACTGCTGAGAGGTAACCTGAGACAAAGCAAACATACTGCTGCACGGTTTTACTTTGTTAGAAACCAAGCAAAGTCATTTTCTTTCCATGATGCAGGCAGTGTACATAATGAATCATTGTGGTGCGAATAATTATGAGAATAATGAATAATAAAGACACGCAATTACTGTGTGAGCTGAGAACTGACCCTCTCCCAGCACGATCCAGAACCTCAGTTCTGTACACGTGCTCCATGTCTTTCTTCTGTATTTCACCAACGCCTCTGAGCTCTGTGCCAACAAAACCTGTCCCCAGAGAGAGAAATATGGGAGGATGCATTCTAGTCACGGCGTGATGCACTGTGTTGGGGTTTGGTTGCATTTCCCTAATTTCTGTTGACTCAAGGATGGCTGTGGGAACATGGAAGTAGTTAGTTTCGGACTGTTTTTATTTGCTATTTTTCTGCTTGCTTGCTTTTGGAAATGACAGTGTGCTGCATAGAACAACATTTCATTAAGTGCAGGGTGGGAGGGAAGCCGGAAAGCGGCCAGGAGACAAACCAGCCTCAGACTTAGAAACTCAGGGTGTTACGGGGATGCTTTGTTTAGTCCCAGCAACGAGAATACTGCGAGCATTGATGTCTGACCGCCCGGAGGAGCAGGGAGCAGTCACGCTGCACGCACGCTGCCCTGCACGGTGTGTGCGCGCAGCACTGACGCAACCGCAGCCTCCCGCCGACAGCCTTCTTCCCCTCCGGAGGACGCAGGGCGGGAGCCGTACCGGGCGAACGGACAGGGCGGCAGCGCGGCGCCCGGAACGCGGCTCCTTTAAGGCAGGTAGCAGCGCAGGGCGGGCCGCCGGCGCCCGGCGCATGCGCGGAGCCGCGACGGGCCCGCCGCCGTAGCGCTGGCACCGAGAGCGCCATGGGCTGCCGCGGGGGCGCCTGAGTCCGCGTTCGCCCGGCGGCGCCTCCTCGCCCCGCGCTCGGCTCCCGGCCGCGGCCGCCTATGGAGTCGGGTTCCGAGGAGCCCGACGAGCAGCTGCTGCTCCTGTCGGAGCCGGCGCTTCAGGCGGGGCCGCCCGCGGGGAGAGCCGCCCCCGGCGGGGCCGTGAGGCTGTGCGGGGAGCCGGGGCCCGAGGAGGAAGAGGAGGGTGAGGAGGACTCGGGGCCCGAGGGGGATGGAGAGGAAGAGCCTCTCCTACGGGCGTCGGGCCGCGGGCGCCGAGCGGGCGCCGCCCGGGATAAGGAGCCCCGCGTCGGCGCAGGTACGGCCGCGGCCGCTGGGCTGGCGCGAGGGGAGCGGCGCGGGGCGCCCGGCGTGTGCCCGGAGGGATGGATGGACGGATGGATGGGCGGACGGACGGACGGATGGATGGACGGCCCCGGCCCGGCCCCGCGCGATGGGTGGGCCGTACCTGGTGGGCCGTACCTGCCGGGCGGGATGCGCGCGGCTCGCAGTGCCCGCTGCTTCCGCCGGCCGCCCGTCCCGCGGGGCGCGCCTCCGTGAGCCTGAGCTGCTGCTCAGCATTGTCCTCGCCGTTCGGTTCTGCTGCGACTTTTTTGGGGTTCGTCGCTTTACACCGTAAAAGTTCTGACTGCACGGCTGCGGGCTGCCGCTGCTTCTTCAGGCTTTGGAGCTTTTTTTCGTACGACTTTGAAAGCGGAGTAGGGTTTGCCGATAGAAATCCACAGATTTGTGTCACCAATCAGCGTGTGCTGTTGTAACTATACTTTTTGTCCGAGATGGGCTTTAAAGGAGTCTTTTAAAAAGGCTTTTTTTTTTTTTTTTTCTTCAAGCTTTAAAAAAAGTTCATTTTGCAGGAATAGTTGATTTTACAAACAAACCAAAAACCCACCAATTTGAACAAAACAGGCTATGCGAGTAACTCTCCTTAAGTAGCCATAGGAAGTTTAACCGTAAGATACAAATGCAGTCTTGTTTTTTAACCAGTAAATCAGGTGTGTGATGTGAGAGTGCCAATAGGATGTTAGGGTTCTTCTGCTTTATTCCCATGGAGATTGAATGTATTGAGATGGTGCTTTTAGCAAAGCATCATCCTTAATGTTTCTGAGAGGAGACTGGAGCCATGGGTCTCATCTTGCAGGGCAGTAAGAGAGGTGAATGCAGAGATGTCTTTGACATCTGCCCTGAGATTATGTAAGAAAACTTCAGAATTCCTCAAGACTCCCCCTACTAATGCTGGCATTAAAATAGGGAAAGTCTTGGGTGAAAGGAGTTAGAGTGCTACACTTACACACAGAATACACCAGTTTAGCTGATGTGATTGTTAACTTGATGGAAGAACAAGTAGAGGTGTGTATTTGGATGACAGTGCTCATGTCCTTGGAGGGACGGTCTCACTGTTGAAGGCTGTGAAGTACTTGGACCCTGTGCAACTTCATTTGGAAAATGCTGACTGTGTGGCTGAGCCCTGATCTCCTGAATGGGAACTTCTGAGGAGAATAGCTCTTAGAGCAGCTGCAGGAAAAACCTTGAACAGTTGTAATTGTACATTCAGAGATGGTACTGAAAATAAGCTGTGTTATGTTTTCACAGAAGAAGAAACCAACTTGGAAAACCCTGCAGTGTTCAACAGATGCTAGTTACAAGTAAAGTGGCTTTCTTTTTTCATGTGGAAGCTGTTGAGAAACTGAAAGGAAACTTCTTACAACTGCTTCTGTCCTTGTTTGCGTCCTGTGTGTTCTTATACACCCACATCATTGCAGTAATAGAAGCCTTTCTGGTAGCTCAGTAGCAACAATCAATAAACCCTACGTTTAAAAAAAAAAAAATTCTCTCGAGCATACAGTATAATGTATTTTTAAAATATAACTGCAAGAGAAATGTACTCAATTACATTCATGTTAGGGAGATGTGATAGAAGATTCCTAAAGGCAGTAAGAATTCTAATGGATTTCGGTCCTGGAGTGAATGCACAGAAGTAAAAGCTGACCTCTGAGAAAGCCAGAATTCTCCAGTTTAAAAACTTATGCCAAGAAATAATGTAAAGTTTTGAAGAGCAGTAGAAGTACTAATTCCTGCCAACTGTTTAGCTGCTTTTTTTTTTCATTATTGTTTATTATCTACATAGAACTGATCTCTTGGTCAGTGTGCAGAGAAGTTCTACAGGAGATTTACAGTGCTTTAGTGCATGGCTGATGGCATGCCATACTTGGTTGAGATGTTGATGCTACTTCTCAGGTCTACTTGTAAGACTGAGTTGTGAACAGCATGATTGTGTCTTAGGGACAGGTAATGAATGTGCTAGCCAAGCTGTTAGCAGAATAATGTGGTACCATTCTAATACTCTGTGGGTGATGGACAGTTTGCTTTCAGTTAGCTTTCTCTACTAAGAGGAGCAAAGCCTTAATGGAAGGTATATCTGGATGTTCAATGTACATGTGCATTTTTTTAGTTCTTTTTTCTCCTTTAGGCTTTGTGATGTAAATATTAAAACAATCATTGTAAGATATAAAAATTTGCAGTGCTAGTCCCAAAGTAGTTGTAGGATGTTTTACTTTAAATACATTTTATTAGGTGTGGGTATATCAGTGTGCAAAGTTGCACTGATTCAACAGAGTAGATTCTCCTGCTTGCTGGTAAGTAGGTATTGTCAGGGAGAACTTTTCACTTTTCTATGTATTTACTTATGCTTTTATTCATTCTTACTACAAATTGTGCTTGTTTGCTTATTTTCTTATTTTTCAGGACATACGGGACACACTATTGATATGAATACATTTTTAGATGATCCAGAATTTGCGGAAATTATTATGAGAGCAGAACAAGCTATAGAGTGTGGAGTTTTGCCGGAAAGAATCTCTCAAGGATCCAGTGGGAGTTACTTTGTGAAGGACAGTAAGGGGGTGAGCGAAATGTTTCAAATGCAGAATCTCTAACAATAGCTGGTTTAAAATGAGAATTTCTAATTCTGTTTAAAAAACTTTTAAGCATGCCAAAATCTAAGCAACGCAAGTAAGTATTTAAATTTCTAATGTCCTGTAGCATAAGAGAAGTCCAACTAACTGTTGTTTCTCTATTGCAGTTTTAGCATGTTTTGAATATTCTGCATCAGATAAATATGGAGGAAATAAAAGTATCTGTTTGACAGCTGAGGGAATCTTTTGTGCAGAATCTACCATTTTGTTTTTTGTATGTTTTAACTGATTTCCTTGAAAGAACTCAGCTTCTTGTTTAGTACTGTACTAAAGTGTTCTTTAGCAAGCCGTTTTATTTATTTTTTCTTTCCTTTGTTTATTGTGTTTTATCTACGTTTGGTCTACATGCTCCTGTGGGCAGGCAAGGAGAGTGATACAACCAACCAACCTTTTTGCTTGTACTCAGTTACTGAATCTTAACATGGTTTAAGTTTTAGTTTGTCTTCCTTTTAAAAGTGCTATTTACCATTAATAGAAGAGAAGGGCAACTATAGTTGGTGATCATCAGAGTTTTCTTAAGTCTATTGTGAGAGAGAGAACTTAGTTACAACTTGCTTGAAAAGTAGCACTGGGTTACCGTTTTTATTAAAGGAGACTTTAGGCATAGTTCCTCTTTTTTCTTTAAATCAGAAATACTTTGCTTATGGATCTGTTCCAAAAAGCAGACTCCAGAGCATTTTTAACAAGTGTCAAGAAGATCATTCCCTGTACCTTTTGATTTGTTATATGCAATTTTATTTTAAGCTCAGCCAGCAGTCTTTAACCTTAGGTAGATGTAGGTGTTTGTTAGTTCTGAAGATGCCATTTGAGTTACACTTGGAAACTGTAACACCTAAGTGCCTAGGTTTTCACAATGCGTAAGATGGCTTTTTCCTGCATCTTCAGAAAAGTTATTTCCTCCTTGTTTAGGATTTAATCTTCTTTTTATTTAACCTCTATTTGTATTAGTGGTTGTTACGGAGTATATTCCTGTCTTGCCACTTTTCATAGATATCCAGTTAGTTTTAATGGCAATTTTCTGGTGATAGTGTTTATGCTTTTGAATGAGTGATTTTTCACAATAATTGCCTGCCTTGAATTATGTTGTGATTCTGAACTTATTTTGAAGATGTAAGGTGGCAGAATTACCCATACAAAATCTTCTTAGAACTGCATATGTGGTTCATGCTCCTGTGTTCCAGGAACATTTGCTAGTAGTGAGCTCCTTCATCCTGTTGGAGGAGAGCCAAAGTAGATGGGGAAGGAAGGGAGGGGGATGTCTTTTTTTAAACTGGAAGAAAAAAATGTTTTTTTCACTAATCAGTTTGTGTGATTCTTGCTCATACATATAATGCTGTTTACAGAGAGACCCATCTCGAGTTTCATCAGTAATTTTTTACTTTCAAGTCACTTCACTACTTTAGTAGTTTTGTTCTGTGCAGGCTTTCAGCTTGTATGCTTACATGTACATATTCAAACTGAATACAATTTTTAAAGAGATTCTGAAGAAGTAAGGATTATTTCTTTCCGTATGTGCAAAAGGAAAAATTCAGAGCAGCTTTGTGACTTGCTTTCTCCTCCCTGTGTTGGCATACTTAGCATTCTAACTGGTCAGCTTCTGGAATATTTCCTCATGCTAATACCAACCTCTAACGGTAACAAGTCATTTTAGCTAGGTTGTTCTAATCGTTGATTTGATTCTCCCAGGAATTCAAACCTGTCACCTTTGTGCGTTTTATTGATGTAGCTGTTTACTGATACAAAGCAGTTCAGTATGTCAGCATTCTTGATGAAGTGACAAATATTTCTTCATTTACCTACATGCTGTGTAACCAAGGAAGAGTTTATATGCTTCAAATGCAGTCTTCTGCAAGGTGTTTTTGCTACTGGCTAATTGGTCATGTCATTGCAGCCAGTCTAGAAATTAATTTTGACTGGCCTTCTTGGTTGTGTACATATTGAGCCATCTGGTTCTACTCAACATGAGTGGCTCTGCAAAGTTTATCAAGGTTTGAACTTAGGGAAAACTTGAAATTTGTACCTTGACTTGATATTATAGCACAGAAAGGTTCAGGCAAGCAATGGAATGAGCTAAGCTCCTTTTAAAAATGTTGGGTTTGTGGGAAATACCACCTAAAATGTGACTCAGAATGGATAATTAATGACTTGGAATATAAATGTAATGCATCATTACATTTCTGGGAAATGAAAAGCTCGTAACTCTGTTTTGAGGAGGTAGATACATGTGATTCAACAGGAGTAACAATAACTTTTTAAGAATGCTAATATTGTTGGTTGAAGTAGCATGCCAAGCAAATTCCGTTTCCAAAGGTTTTTTTTTCTTTTGTTCTTTAGGAGGCCAATTCCTAATGTGTTCTGTGCGGAGAACATAGTTTTGAATTCCAGACTTTCATGTTACAGAGAATGTTTGTTGTAGGAATAAGGACCTCTTGTGTAGGTCTAAATAGAATTGTAAATGCAATGCACAGTTGCACAGAACTTGCTTGTGATTTGAGCACACCATTAGGACTGGAGATAACAGCGTGCTGAAAACATGGGATAATTTTTGCAACTTCACATCCTATTCCTGTTGATAGTAAACTTGTAGAATGAATGCAAGTAGTAATGTTTTAACTTATTTCTTCTGGTAGTTGGTGTGAGTGAATCAAAGTGGATAGATAAGAGAGGTGTTGTTACTAAAATCTAGTGTGTTGTGTATTGTATTTCCAAATTTAACAGAGTAAGCTCACTGTAATTAGTTTTATCCAAAATGAGACTGAAAGCAGCTAAAAATTCTATCAAACTTAGATCAACTAGTTAGTTCATCTCCATAGACTAGCTGAATTAGCAGTTCCTGGGATGCTGGTAACTAACTACCAGCAAACTGTGTTCTTAGTTTGAAGTGCAAATCATCTATAAGAATTGGAGTGCAACTACAAGCAATTCATGGCTTATTGAGAGATTACCTTTTTTTTTTTTTTTTTTTTTAGTAATGAGTATGAGAAAATATTTTTAAATGATTATGTTCGTTATATATTACATAAGAATTTGATTTACTTAGTTTGGTCATGAGAAAAGGAATAAAAATACTGCATTTCTACAGAATTTTGCTTGAGCTATACAAGAGTCATTACAGGGACCTTGTACATTAGGCTAAATTTTATCACAAACAATGGAAAGGGTATATAATTCAGTGTAACGAAAGTTGTGCAGTTTGAGGTTAACAAATAATAGAATCCTGTTGTAGGAGGCACCTTAAGAAATTATCTCTTTAATCCCTATGTTGTGGAGCAGGATTGTCTTAAAGGATTTGTCATGCTCCTGTGACTAACCTGTTCTTAGCAGCATCCTATTTTGGAAACTGTGCAGCCCAGAAATTTGTTCTGGTCTTAAGCCTACTCTTAAGGTTTAAGAGTTTTTCTTCTCACTTCTTACCTGCTGGGATTTAAGCCTATCATTTCTTGGTTGGTTAACACTAAATCTGTTGTTCCGTGTTTCTTTATAACAACTTATTTAGTTGATTTTGTGCCCTATTTTTTCTTCTTTAGGCTAAACAATCCATGGTCATACCATCTGGGATCTGTGAATTAATAAGGAATATTTACCTTTTTTGCATATTCTCATTTTTTTCCAATTTTCTCTAGTTATTGCACAGATTTCTTGAAGCATAATGTCCAAAAATGGAATAGTACTCTCAGTAATTTTAAGCTTTGGTACAATTATTTATGTGTGTCAGATAGCACCAACTGCTGCTATCAGCTTCATGTCAAGGAATCTTCAGTGATAGTGGTGCCATTCATTGCAACTGCCAAGTGCAAGTTTTCATGTTTTCTATCTGAAAGTAATAAAATAGATACAAAAGATAAAATGTAACGCTTGATCATCAGCATTCTGTATATTTTTTTCTTTCCTGGAACCATTATGTCTCTATCTGGAATGTCTAGATCAGTAAGTTAACTAGTAGGCTGAAAGTTCTTCTTAAAGTTACTTTTAAAACTACTTGTATTCTAAAATAGTTGCTTCCATTTTGTAGAAGTAATAAGTGTTGGCTGGTTCTGACGTTTTTGTTATGAAGAGAGGTTATTTTGAATTTGTGCCTCTTCTAGAAAAGCATTATATAACGCGTTTATTTCAAGTGCTATTTTGTTAGGTCTAGATTTATTATATTTTATAGAAAGGGAAATGGTGTAATGCATTAGGATTTAAAATTATTTTGAATATTATTTATTGAAAGTATCCATGCTTTAACTGTATATTATTTATCCTAGAAAACTATTGGAGTGTTCAAACCAAAATCTGAAGAACCTTATGGACATCTAAATCCCAAATGGACCAAATATTTTCACAAGATATGTTGTCCTTGCTGCTTTGGCAGAGGCTGCCTTGTTCCAAATCAGGGCTATCTCTCTGAAGCTGGTGCCTATCTTGTAGATGACAAGCTGGGGCTAGGAGTTGTACCCAAAACTAAGGTAAAAGTTAAAAATTCATGAATTATCAAATGCAAAAAGTACACAGTTACTGATATATCAGAATCTGGCCTGTAATTGTGCTCGCTTTAGCTTTAAATCATTTGCAAACTATATCAAGTCTTAGTGCCTAGTGGTGTAGTGTAGAAACAGTGACTCTGTGGTTCTTTGTTTTAAAGGATGAGTTTGAGAGCTGAATTAAATCTTTGGTGTGTTCTCCATTTAAAATAAATAAAATTTAACCACTTCAGTGTTTAGTATTTTCTACTGTTTTTCTGCATCTAATTTAGCAAGAAGCATAAGAATTGCAAATTCTGATATATTCTATATAGCAGCATGTAAAGATTCTAGTTTGCAAGTATTTCATCACATTTCTCTTTGAGATATCTGAGAGCAAATATTCATGCTTTCCTGATTTTTTTTTTTCATATTTTTTTTTTCCCCTACTGGAGTTGCCTGATGCTTCATTTTTGCTTTCTTGGCAACTGAGCATAAAACTTACTGTAAATAGATAAATAAATGATGCAGAATGGAGTTGTGCTTTTAACATTTTTAATGATGACATTTTCTTACTTGAAGGTTGTCTGGCTTGTCAGTGAGACTTTTAATTACAGTGCAATAGATCGTGCAAAGTCAAGAGGAAAAAAATATGCTTTAGAGAAAGTGCCAAAAGTTGCTAAAAAATTTAATCGAATTGGACTACCTCCTAAGGTAAGATTGAAGAGAAGATCAATGCATTTCCTTACTCTGGCACAAAAACTTTAATAATAAAAATGTTTTAGATGACTCTAGCAGAAAAAACACCTTGCTGTTTATTTACAAGTGATCTCTGAATGATGGAAGGTTGATTAAATGTAATTGTTTTTAAGCAAAACCTGACCATTCTGTTGCATCTTTCTTTCTCTTAAACTACAGTTACAATGTAGCCACTTTCAGTTTGCAGCTTAGGTTTCTTCTTGAAGAAAATCACATAATTGTATACTTCTTTCTGTTTTTCTCCTTTTCTTAACTATTGTATTCCCTTCATTGCTTGCTGTTTTTTTTTTGTTTGTTTCATGATTGCTTCTCCCTTGCTGTTTTTCTAGTTCTTTCAGATTTTCTAAATCTTTCTCCCTTCTATTTCTTTGTTTTCTTTTTTCAGGTATCTTATTGTCATGCTCATCATCCTACCTTCTTGTGTGCAGTATTCCTCTGTCTGCAACCTCACATCTTTCTTGTTGTAACTGCAGAATCTCATCCATTCTAGTCTTACACTTTTAAAACACAACTTTAGTAATCTACTTCTCAATTCCAGCCATTTAGTTTGATACAATATATGTTATGCAAGCTTGTATCACATATTACATGTTTATTATGTACACCTAAAAGTTCATCTGTATCTCAACATGTGTGCATCTACATACATTTTAATTCTCAAATATAATCTCTCGTTTGAATTTTAATCTTGAGTAACTTTTCTGTTGTCCGCACATACGGAGCCTATTTCATCTGTGTTTTCCTTCCTTGGAGTCTTTTGGGAAATGTATTTCAGTCATTTTCATGCAAAAAGTGTCTTGAAAAAATGACCAGAGATGCTGGTCTCATCAGTGAAACATACAAGCTTTTCAGAGGGGAAGACTTTTTTTTCCTGCTGTAATTTTTGGTGAGTTTTCTATGAACTAATGAACCAAGTATTTCCAACGGAAATAGATGCTATTTCTTCATATCAGATATTGCTCTAACACTGAAGGTTCATTTGTGCTAGTCTGTCTGCCTACTTTTAGTTCTTGGTAAATTCAATGAGTGCTTCAACACACTGAAAATCAGAGCAAAACCAAAAATCCAAATGATATATGAGACTTCTTAGAATTTTCTTAGAGTTCAGACAAACCACTAGAGAAAGAGAAACTACTTAGTCTTGTTTTTATATTTTCTGTTTTTTGCTGGGTGGTTCACTGTATTGCTTTCAGTGTTCTGACCCTTGAAAGGATGTTAGCTAAAGATGTGTGGGTGTATTTGTCATATGGTTTCTTAATGTTTCAGGTTGGCTCCTTCCAGCTGTTTGTTGAAGGATATAAGGAAGCTGACTACTGGCTCAGGAAGTTTGAAACTGATCCTTTACCTGAGAACACAAGGAAAGAATTTCAGTCACAGTTTGAAAGATTGGTTATCTTAGATTATGTCATCAGAAATACAGGTATCTCGTAGCGTCCTGAAGTATCAGTTAACTTGCGGGAAAATTTGTAAATAACTCTGACTGAAAGTTGCTAGTGAAAACTTTAATGCATTTCAAGTGTTTTACTCACAAATGAAGGCCAGAATGTTGCATTTTAAAGGTTTTAAAGACTGTATATCTCTAGATTCAAACATTAAATATTAGAGAATTACAAAATCCAAGCAATTTTTATTGACGGTTACTTGATATTTTAAAATGACTTGAGAATTTAAAATAAAATACTTATGCCTTAGCTGTGTTAGTAGGCGATTAGTTGTCTCTTCTGCAAAATTAGAAGAAAAGATTGTGAGGTTACAGGAAACATAAAAGCAACTACAACTACCATTCCTTTTATGCTGAGCTGGAGACCAATAACAGCACAGTTTCACCTTGGTGCAAAATACCTTGTATTGATGGTGACCAGGCACTGAACAGTAAGCTGTGAGAAGTCTGTTCTCCTGTGTTCCTCTTTCTTTCACTCGGAGATTGAGATTTTTGTTCTGACTTCTTGTAGGTGATTTGTTTTCTGTAGAATGCAAAGGCAGTTTTATCTAATTGGTTCCTTTGCTGCTTCATCTGAAGTGGGCATTTTTGTTTACTACATTCTATTAGAATGCCGCTGCATGAAGATACTTTTTTCTTGATTTTTTTTTTCTGTATATACTGTGTATTCAGTCAATAAAGCAGTGGTATATACGGCTTAGTAAAATTTAGTGTTTCCAATAAATCGGTTATCTTAAAGGTTTCATAAAAGGTGTTTTGATTGGGGGGGGGAAAGACTGAATGGTTTTGCCTGATATCTTTGGTAAATTCCCAACTTACAGTATTACTTTCTGATTAATTTTGAGTGATACTTTCTTTGTGACATGCATTTTTTTCTTTACTTAAAGACAGAGGTAACGATAACTGGTTAGTGAGGTATGAAAAGCAAGATGATGGACTTAATCTGTCAGATAAGGTAAGAAAATAATATTCTGAAAATGTTCTGATTTCTACAGCCGTTTCTGTGCTCTGTTTATTTTGTATTTTTGGAAGAGCTCCTTTGTTATGGTGGTAGCTTTAAGAATTCTGTGAGCTGCAGTTTCTTTGATAGTCCTTCATGAAATTTAAATTTACTTTAATTAGTGAAACTAAAACCCATATTTAGTATTTCAATGTATGTTGTATTTTTGTAAGCACACAGGTGTCACTAAACTTTGAAATATTCCTTCCATAGGATATTCAATGGACTGTAACTGAAGAATCTACTATTAAAATTGCTGCAATTGACAATGGCTTAGCATTTCCCTTTAAGCATCCTGATGAGTGGAGGGCATGTATGTATTGTATTATTAAATCGTCTTACTTCTGGACAAGTGATTTCTAAATAAGTATTTGCAGTTTGGGTGATAATAAAGTGTAAAACCATCAAGCTAGCACCAAATTCTTTTCTTTTTGCAGTGGCATGTGTGATATAGTCCTTCACTTTTTTTTTTTTTTTAACTTAGGACAGTATTAATACATATTCACAAAGAATGATTCTTGCATTTTTTTCTAATCAGTGTTGTCAAAGTGACTTGAGTGCAAGGATATGCAAACTGTTTCAAAACTGTTCTAAGGGCACTGTTGTAAATAAGTAGACAGCCTACATATTATTTTTCCTTGTTTTCAACCTTAGCTTATTTTGTAGAATTTAATATTATGTCCAAGAGGATAAAAAAAAAAATTACATTCCTAATAAATCTAAATTGCTTCTGAGAATCTCTCTGACTACTTATGGTGTGAGGGAAGTGCCTGAAAATTGTCTGTGAACTGTTAGCCAATTGGGTAATTGTTACATTTAAGTGTGGGCTAGTTAATAAAAAGCTATTTAATTACCTGCTTATAGCTCTGTGCAGTCCCAAACATCTTGCTACTTGATAGCTACTGTCCCACGTATCTCTTCTGCACTCGATTCTAGTTCTGTAGCTGTTATTTTATTCCAAAGGAAATTAAATTACTACACAAGGAGTAAGCTGCTTTTGTTTACAGTACTTACTGATTAAAGTAAATACTCAAAATATTAAATTCTTAAAATATATGTTGTCACTGATGGAGTTAAAAACAAAAAAACAAAAAAACAAGAAAAAAACATAGCTGTTCTTGTAGCTGCAGTCAGGTGAGTTACATTGAGGTAACACAGTGCTGTGGAAATGCATGCTACTGACTACCTGCAGGAAGGAGCATGCTACTACAACAGTTGTAAACACTTGAAAATTTAATTTTTGCCTGTTGTTTTTTCCTATGTTAGATCCCTTTCATTGGGCTTGGCTTTCTCAAGCACAAGTTCCCTTCTCTCAGGAGACTAGAGACTTGGTTCTTCCTCGCATCTCTGACATGAACTTTGTACAGGATCTTTGTGAAGATCTTTATGAATTATTTAAGGTGAGAGGAATGCTTCTTTGAATTCGGCATTTCTGATATACCTAACTGTTCCATTACAAGTAAAAACTAGTTCTTGTTTTTGATTTTGTACCCTTTTCTATCAAATATTATATATACGTAATTACAGGAAGCTATGTTACTGTTGTGACTAAGAGTAATCAGCTTATCTGAAAACCTGATTACCTTTATGTATAGTGAAGTTTCACATACTTGGTTAAGTCTAGTTAATTTTTATAAAACAAATCTCTAAATTCTCCATTTAACATGCCTCTGCAGTGTGTATACACTTAAACTGAAGTAGCCCAATGAATCTGGCACTAATAATTGCATCTTTGACTCAGCTGCATTCAAAGTGACTCTGGATTTTCAAATTCTGCCAAAAAAAAAAAAAAAAAAATGAGGGCCCAGTAGTATAACATTATGGTGGTGTTAAGGCTGCCTACCAAGAGTTGAAGTGTTACTTATTGATACGTTCTGCTTTTACCATGTGATGAATTTTGATATTTATGTTGACATAGCTAAATTGTTTGCAGTGACTAGATTTCTTTAAGTCCTTCTGTGACTATGAAAGCTTCCTAGTTTTATTATGATGTTGATAAATATGACCATATTGTGAACTTGATTAATGTGCATACCGAATGCACAGTTGATAACAAAGGGATCATTTCTTATAATAACTTTAATGTTTTATGTTTTCTTAATAAAGACTGATAAAGGATTTGACAAGGCTACTTTTGAAAACCAAATGTCTGTTATGAGGGGGCAGGTAAGACTGCATTTTAATATTATTTGTCACAACTTCTCAGGTGTTTGTGTTTGTATCTGGAAAAAAACAAAGCTCCTATTCAGCTGAAAGATACTTGAAGGCCTTTCCATCTGGGAACACTAAATTGAATTTTAATGGAGGCTTTTTTGAGAGAGATGAGATATACATGATACCTGTATATTCTTTGATATATTAAACAAAATGTTAGAAAATAGTCATAAACTTGGATGGAAAATTTGGTGGGTAATCTAATTATGTTATTAAAATAAATGCAAAATAAAGTTGTATTGATTTTAGAAGGTTAACTTCTTGGAAATACTTCTCACAATAAAGAAATTGGGTAGTAGAATTCCTTCATCCTAGCAGATGTCAGTACCAATGATTAGCAGCGTAATCCAGGCATTTTCAGATTAGGATTTCAGTGATAAATTTAAGTCCTTTCATAGTATTAGAACAAGAGAGGAAATGGTGTCTCTCTCCTTGCTGCTTCAAAATTGGTCTGATATATTGGAAAACATAACTATAAAAATAGATTTAGTTCATTGTATGTAAGCTGGGCATAAACCAGTGATTTGTGAAAACATAAGGGAATTGGGCTAGAGGAAGTAAGACTCCCTTCTGAATACACTGGAACTGACTTGTCTGGCTTTAAACTACCCATGCTGAATTTACAAACGCAGACATTGGCAATTCCTAGCGTGGCTTAGTCTGTTTTTTTTTCCCTGTAACAAGAAGTGCTTTGCGCATGACTGCAGTTCTGTTTAGTCAAACATAATTCCAGTTACCATTAATTGTTTGCTGGCTAAAAGCCAGAGAACCTTATTCTTTATGAGTTTAAGAGTTTAGTTTTAAGAGCTATTTCTGAAATAGATCTTTGGAGAAGTTTGTGAAGTCACTGGAAATATTCTGAAATATTCATCTATCTTAACAGAGTTAAGTAGTTTAAGTTGTTTTTGTTTGTGCTGAATCAGTCAGCTACAGGGAAACTATTGTTTAACAAAAGAAGATACAGGAAAAATCTAATCTGCATAGCTGAGAGAGACTTAGACACAGATGTCTAATTTAATGTGATACTAAAAAGGCAGAGTCCAGACCCTCTCGTTCAACTTTTTCTTTGAGGTGGATTTCAGCAGAGGATTTTATTTTTGTCTGTCCCTTTGGAACCATGTAATTACAACAAATGTAATTTTTTTCTCAGGCTTGGATGTGGATAAAAGAAGTATAACAGAGTTATTCCTCAATGTTTGGAAATCCAGGAGCAAGGGATTCTCTTAGCATTGATTTTTAGAGTTGCTTTTGATGTAAAAACTGAAGTATGTTTGAAGGGGATTGTAAAAGAGTGGGAAAACCAGATTGATTACGGAAGATTTTTTTGCAGGATAGCAGAAAAACCCACCACTCTGTAGACGTGTTGTTAAAAATGGATAATCTAGTTGATAAAGATAAGAAATACCAAGAACAATGTATCTTGCATGTGAGGGTATTTATGAGGCTTTAAATCTGAGGCACTGAAAGTATTTAGAAATATATTTTTGTGAAACAGGAAAAAATACCAGAAAGAGTTTTGAGCCCAACATGAACAGTTCTTGAGAGTATAGAGAGTAAAGCAAATGGTTAACGCAGACCTCTGAACTTGGACAATGTCAAGTGGAGTTCCTGTAAGAACCAGTTTGCGGGGAAACCGTGCAACAGTCTTAATCTGCAGGGTTCTTCAGCTGGGAAAGCATGCAGCATGAAAGTGTGAAACCCACTGATCTGCTGTTCATTCCACTAGGAAGGAAGGGGTTGTGCAGTAGGGGGGAAAGGGGTTGAGATTACAGCAAATGCAAGTATGTCAGCTAAACTGCATTTGAAAACTTCCCTTAGTTTTCAGTAAAGGAAACATTGAACATAATGCAAGTTATCAGGGTAGGTAAAGAGCACTGAAATCTTGGAAGGAGAACAGCAGACTGTTGGCAGATCTGAGGGCTGAATTTGAATCTTAGCACTGGATTTGGCAATCAAATAGCAGTAGAATGTCATAATGTTATCACGTAAGGTACTTCTACCTTTAGAAGTAGGTTCTTCAACAAATTTTGTAGAAGACTGCCTTATCAAATAAATGGAATGATAGGTATATTTACAATCCTGTTAAGCACAATTTAACTTGTATGCCTGCACCTTACCTGCTTTCTGCTCTTTTAGATACTAAACCTTACTCAGGCGTTAAAGGATGGAAAAAGCCCCATGCAGCTTGTTCAGATGCCACGTGTAATTGTGGAGCGAAGTAGCACTGGAAGTCAGGGCCGAATTGTTCATCTGAGTAACGCATTCACACAGACCTTTCATAGCAGGAAGCCTTTCTTTTCCTCCTGGTAGCAACAAAAATATGTGGGGAAGAGTAAGCTTCTCTAACTTTGGTAAGCTACTTCTGTGTAAAGGCTCTGCAATAACGTACTTCTGCTGTATACCAAGAGCTCCAACTGCCATCACCTCAGAACTTAAATTCTAAAGACTTAAGAAATGTATTTTGAATGTAATAAAAGTTTACAATTTTTGTGTCAAAATCATGAATTCATATGTCAGGGAATGAGAAGAACTTGTCCATACTGTATTTTTATAGGCTGAATTAATGTATTCTGAATAAAACTAAAGGGAAGATGCACAGTTTGCATATGCTGAGAAACTACTTTTGAATACAACAGAAATTGTTTTTGTTTAATATGAATGTGAAAAGCTATAATCTATCAATTTCTTTTTATATGTTCTTAAAAAAAAAAAAAGTGGAATGTTTTATTTGATTGTGAAAATGCTTTTCCTTGAAATTTCTGCCTCATGTTTTAAGCTATCAATAGGTTTTCATAGGCTATTTACTTGGGGGGAAAAAAGTCATGCACTTGAGAAAATAAAAATAATAATAATTAAAAAATCCTTGACACACATGTTAAGGGGGGGAAGGAAAGATACGCTCGAAGTAGATTTTCGTTGTTGTTATTGCATGTTGGGACCAAAAATAACTAAATAGCTTTTAGTTGAATTACAGCAAAATTCATCCCCAGTAAGTACACACAGTTTCTACTGTCACAAAATGAACTGAGTGTACATTTTGGAGGGTGAAACTTTACCTGTAGCTTTTAGAACTTTTGTATTGAAGTACATGTATGGATAAATGTGGTATTTCTTTGTAGATAGGTTACAACAAAAGAATTGCACAATGGTACAGGTTGGGTTTTTCCTTATAACTGTGTTAATTTGTAGTCACCGAAGTGGTTCTTCACAATTAATGACAGAAGCACTATTAATCACAAAGCTAGTCTGCCTCCTGAATTTCTAACCAAACACACTGTTATTTTTTTGACTGGAAAAAAAGCTTACTGTAATATATAGAGTACAGAGATATATAATTGGACCTTTAACAATGTCATGCTCATTTGCCAATTTTCATTTATGTTTAAGTAATGTGACTTAAGACTTGATAGTCATGCTTCTAGATTTGTAGCTTATGTTATATGATAAATGTTTATTTTCATAACTTTTCAGACAGTGAAGACCAGGAATGGGAGAAAAATTGCTGCTTTTATGAGAGAAACTTTCAGTATTTCAGATATTGCTGTATTTTGTAATTCTAAGCAATACTGCTGAACTCAAATGCTTGTATTTTATATAATTTTGGATGTAAATATTGTTGTAGCATGTCAGCAATTCACATGATTAACTGAAGTGTTTAAGCCTTAAATGTTGAAAAATAAAAGAAATACAGTGCGATGGAGTTCAAAATAAGACTGAAATGACCACCTTTATAAATCTTCCATTATTTGTTTTTATCCAAACAGTTTATTAAAATTTAAAGAAGGTATTTATGTACCAGACCTCCTAATGAAGAAAATAAATGTTAAAGTCTGAAACGCACAGGATTTTGGCTCCAGTATTGTGTTTGTCCTACAAAGAGACTCCTTAATTGTCTTGTTTCATCTGCATAACTCTTTGATACTAAGTGTACTCTCTGTACCTGTTACATGGTGTAACTTTCTTGAAACTGTGAGTACTGAGAAGATGTAACTGGAATGGCACTGCATAGTAAGATTTAATAACGTTGTCTGTTGTTGAGTATACTTTACCTTCTGTGCTGAAGAGAAATATTTCCGCTTTCCTGGCTGTAGCATCTCACTGCTTTTTCATGGCGAGCATCATGGAGGAAGCTCAGAAGAGAGCTTATTGCTCTACAGCTCCCTGAAAGGTTGTGGTGAGTTGGTGGTCAGCCTCTTCTCCCAGGTAGCAGTGATAGGACAAGAGGAAACGGCCCTCAAGTTGCATCTGGGGCAGTTCAGGTTGGATATTAGGAAAAATTTCTTCTCAGAAGGAGTGGGCAGGCACTGGAGCAGGCTGCCCAGGGAGAGGGTGGAGTTACCGTTGTTGGAAGCCTTGAAGAAAAAGGTTTAGATGTGGGACTTAGGGACATGGGTTAGTGGCAGTATCTGTGGTAGGTGGATGGTTGGACTACCAGATGATCTTAGAGATCTTTTTGAACCTTAATGATTCCATTTGAATTACTATGCCTTAGTGACTAGAATGCTTCTATATGCTCCCTAAACCCTGACAGACTTCTTCAGAGTACTGGTGGTGGTTGGAGAAAACTGAATGTAAAGTAGTACAGGGCTCCTCGAAACACTTTGTAGGCTTTGAAAATCCTCACGTGCAGTTTATTCCTTCCTCACAACCATCTCTTCCAATGCCCAGTTTGTAGCAGAAGGTTACAAATTGTATCCTTGTAGCAGAAGGCGTTGGGCAGGTGGTGTGTGCAACCTGTGAGACCTTGGTTAAGGTAAGGAGGAACCATAGTTTATGTGGTGGCAGGAGCACCAGGCAGAGGACAGCTGCAGCGCGTATTCAAGGGAGGAGGTCGTGCCACGGCGCTTGTCCCGTTCCCGCCCCCCTGTGCTTGCGGTGCTGCTGGGAAGGCGGTACCAACATGGCGGCCGGCGCTGAAGGGGCAGCGGGCGCGGGGTCGGGCGGGCTGGCTCTGCTCGGCGCTGTGCCCGGCGCTCCCTGCTGCCCGCACGGTGAGCAGCGCTCGGGCGGGATGGAGGAGCGGGGCCGGCCGGGAGCTCTGAGGGCCGCGAGGGGGGGTGGCCGCGGATCCTGAGGAAGCCCGGGAGGCATGAAGCAGATCTTTAGTGGGCCTCCTGTCGATAGGTCCTGCTCTCCTGTTCGTGAAGACCAGCCAAGGAAAAGAGGAGGGGAGAAGATTCTATGCTTGTTCGGCTTGTAGGGACAGAAAGGATTGTAAATTCTTCCAGTGGGAGGACGAGAAGGTAAGAGAGGGCTGCTTCATGCTGAGGGGGGTGCTAGGGTTTTTGTTTGTTTGTTTGTTTGTTTGTTTGCTTTTTTTCTTTTACTCTTTAACAGAAAACTGAGAAAGTGTAAATGTTGTTCTGGAAATCTGTGGTAATTGTTCTGTAAGTGCTTTTCTAACTATTCAGGTGGCAGAATGCTTTCTGTGAGGAGAGGATGTTTCAGGTACACCTTTCAAAGTGGGCTGTCTGCACGTTGAGAGAAGTGGTGTTTGTTACTGTGTTACCAAGACACCGCTGAGTTGGGGTTGTGAGTTTTGCCACTATGGTGCAATGCTGAGCAACTGATAGTTTGAGCCTGGGAGGTCATCATCTTCTGCAGTCCAGGCAGAGAAAATTGGGTGGATGTAGCAGACATTGTGCAGTGCCCAGAGAGGGCGGTGGGGGTCAGATCTGTAAGTTTTGTGCCGATGTCTTCTTACTCTTGGCTATGAGACGAGTTTGTTTTGTGGGAGCTAGGACACAGACTCAATAAAGGGCTGGTGTGCATTTAAATAATGGTACATAAGAGTCTTGGGCAATGTTTCTGTCAGTCACGTGGGATAGTTTTTCAGAGGGAATTCTAACAATTGTAGGATCATGTTATCATGCAGTATATCCATTTCTTTGTTTATTGTAAGCGTGTTTTGAGATTTTTTCCTTCTATGTTACGTGTGGTAAAGGAACTGAATTCTTACATTTATTTATTTGTTGCTGCATGGTTTGAATTTAGAAAGAGACTTCTGTATAGCTTGCCACTAAACTGCAGTCATGCTTGTTACTCTCAGCCAGGAACCCCAGGAATGTGACAGTTTTCCTGAGCAGAAGCACAAAACCTTTGATGCACTCATTTTGCTTAATCCTGAGATTTGCAACACAGTGATTCCTGCTTTTTAACTTCTTACATGCATAAATTTTACAGGTATCACAAACTAGACTTGCAGCACGTGAAGAATATAATAGAAGTCATCAGCCGCCTTGTACTCACAAACAGAATGTGGAAAGGTATTGTTGCTAAGTGCATTTTCATTAGTAAAAGTCAGTCCTATGTAAGTTCAGAGACTTTGTATGAAGGCACAATGTTTCCGGATTCTTTGGAAAACGAAAGCATGGCAGAGGCATATGGAAAAATAAGAAAAGATTGTCTGTAAAGTGTAAATAGTATTGAACATCTGATTGGAGCATGATGCTTTCAACTCAGGAGCTGTGCCTTTTTATTTTCATAGCCACAGTTTTCCTTATGTTAGTGCTCTTAATGTGTTAACAACAGGACTGTAGCAGTGCAAGTTCAGAAAGTTATTCCTGACTTGCACAGATTGTACAGTAACACTAATTTGTGAGTTGTGTACAAGCAAGCAGTCCTGTATGTTTATAGTTCATATGTTCTTCACTCTGTAATCTAGTTATTTTACAAACTCTCAATGTCCTTGACCATTGCATTACTTAATTGCTTTTAGGGGAGATTTTGAAAGTGTCCTATGAACGTTTTTAAAAAATATTACTTCATTGACATGTAGTTAGTAGGGTTTTGCAAAAGTAGCTTAAACTACTTTGTACTGTGTAAATTTCTTGAAAACATGAAACTCATTTTGTATCTCATTCCATTTCTTTTATAAAAATTTTTCAAAATTGCCTCTTATATTTATAGGTACAAGAATTTTGTTCTGTTGCCTTTATCAAAGAGGAGGTTTTGTCAGGAATGCCAGCAATTGCTATTGCCAGATGAATGGGAAAAACACTTGAGTCATCAGTTCCTGTGTGATATCTCCACTGCCCAGTTAAGAAGTCCCAGTCAACTTTTGTATCCACTAGAAAATAAAAAAACAAATGCACAGTATTTATTTGCAGACAGAAGTTGCCAGTTTCTACTGGATCTTATTATTTCACTAGGATTCAGACGAGTGCTATCTGTTGGAACACCTAGGTACGTATAATAAGAGGTTCACTATGCTTTAATTGGTTGGCAGTATCCAGGCACTTAGTGGGAACATGCTTTGAGCTCACAAGACACACAAGAAGACTGTAGCTGCACTGTAGTTAAATTCCCTCTCACCCACCTATCTGGTTTTTAAATGTCATACTAATGCTGCTTACCAAAGTGACACTGAGTTACTTAGTTTATGTTTTGGGGTTTTTATTGTGGTGATTCTCTAGTCTCTGCTGACTTACCATCTTTTAAGGCCATCATATTTTTCTAACTTTACATATTGGCCAAATTGCTCCATTTTCTTTATCTGTTTGGTTTTAGGCATAATAAAATATCAGATATTCAGTCTTGCAGAATATTTTCTGAAGATGGTGGTTATATCTTACATTTCTTTGTTCTGATTATGCTTCAGGCTTCATGAAATGATCCAGTCAAAAGCTTTACAAGAAGAAAACTTCAGGGTTAGAAGCCTTCTGCTAGATATTGACTTCAGGTAGGTTTTGATAAATGTTATGTGTCTCGAGTATGTGCAAAGATTTGTTTTCTTATTACTTTAAAAGATAAATTGATAGTTATTCTTCATTTCTTGTCTCTCCGTTTTCACTTCTGCACTCTAACAGTGGTGACAGCTAATTTATGAGGAAAAATAGTTGTACTTAATTGTTTCCATTATCATGTTTTCAGTAATTGGAACTCAAAAATGTTGTCTATATATAGGCCTTAGTTTCAATGCCCCTTAGGGCAAGGAAGAAGTAACTCATATTTTTCTATTACTGTTAAAACTTGTTTTACAGGTATTCACAATTTTACACAGAGGATGAGTTCTGCCACTACAACATGTTTAATCATTATTTTTTTGGTGGAGAGGTAAGGACAAGTATTTCTTGAATGCTTTGTGAAGCAATACGTGTTGTTGATACAGAATTTAGTGAGAAAGTATTGGCTAGTCTAGATGGTTAGTTAGAAGACAGCTGTCGTGAGATAAAAATGGTCAGCAGTACTGCAAATTAAAAAACAAAACAAAACAATGCATCTTCATTAACTCTTTCTACTTGATTCAAAGATGAAGTCATGGGACTTTAGGAACATGTTAACTAATGTTACTTAAACAGCTTAATGTTTCTTTTATTAAAATGACAGTTTGGTGTGAGTTATTGCCTATTATTAGTATAGGCTAGCCCTGTTTCTGTGTTGCTACCACAGAATTGTTTTATTCCCAGCCTTCATGAGCCAAGCAGATGCCACAGCACTCATTCACTGATACTTCAGAGGGAGGGCTTTCCTGGTTTACTCCAGGCAAAAAAAGTCAAAAGGTCAAAACCCTTTTTTTTTTTTAAAGTAGAGGATCATAGTTTAATATAATTCTAAACACTCTTCTCAAAAAACTTATCCCAATATAACTCACTGTTTAGTCTTCCCCTGCCATAATTTAGTAAACCACGACTGAGTTGCATAAACATTCTTACTGCAGTACCTTTCATACTACATAGGTCAGTTTTTTTTTCTTTTTTTCTCATTCTAAAGCATAATTTTAGCAAGCTCTTGAAAATAAAAAGAATCTAGCATGAAATGGAAAGCTAGTGTAAAAGCCTTACCTTTGAATTTCTTTGATTTGTTAGTGTATTCAAGTTTTGTATTTTTCAATTAAAAGACTGTTTACCTGCATTACTGCATGACTGAAGTGTTTTTGCCAAGCTGTGAAAAGCTGACACCTGTAATGACATGCATCATTTCAAGGTCTGAATTGCACTTCTGAATGTAGATTAATATTATAATTCTGCCTTTGGAATTCAACAGAATCCAGGCAGTAGAAGAGGACACTGCACAATGGCAGTGAATACGTAGCTTTTTCCATTTTCTTTGATAATAGAGTCCTAGCTGGATTGTTTTTTATAACCAGTATGGATTGAATCAGTTTTCAGTGGGCTGAAATTTCTCCTATTAATAATGCCTTACAGAATAAAATAAAAGGGCATTAATTACATGTATTCTGAGCCTAAACTCTGCTCTCTTGCATAACAACCTGTTTTTTCCAAGTCATATTTACTACCCTTAAGAAAAAGAGTATTTTAGACAGCTTTAACTGCATCTGTCCATTGTAATGTCATATATAACTGAATGAGGCATTGTTTTCAGTTCTTCAGATCCAGAATTTTTTTGAAATGCTACATTCACCTACACAAGAAGTAATCTACATTGTTAACGTTCAAACTTGTAAAACAATAATTATAGTGCTAAATAAAATCTTTGCAGATCTTAAAAGTTTATTTTACAGTTCTTAAATCTGTATTCCTCCCTGTTTCTTACAGGCTGCACATGAAACTTGTAGGAAATTCTTACATGAAGAGAAAGATGAAAGAGTAATTATGGTGGCTGATCCCCCATTTGGAGGTTTAGTGGAAGCACTGGCTTCTAGTTTTAAAAAACTGATGGCAACATGGAAGGATACAGAAAAAGGAGGCATGTATTACAAATAGGTGAATTAAGCTGCAAAGTTATTGCAAGAAAGAGTACCTGTTCAAGCCTGTAATTATTGCTACTTGAGTGAATGTTAACATATGCATAATTTCAAAGATGAAGTACCATATATCTAAGTCTCTCTTAAATGTGGATTTGTAAAAATAAACTTCACAATTAAAGTGGACTTTAAGGGTAGAGAAGAATAACCAATTAAAACACAATACCACTTCTTAGCAACCGAGGCAGGTGACAAGACTTGTTTGGGTTAAGTGGAACTTACAACCCAGTGTATATAAATATGTCAAAAACTTCCTTTCCCCTAAAGGAACTAGTTATTATGTTTAGTGTAGTGTACCTATGCATGCGTATGGATTCAGAACACTTACTGTAAATTTTTCATGCTTCACATACATTGTTTTTCTTTAATGTCCATCCAAGCCTTTTTATCACTAGGTAATAAGAACCAAGAGATGCCCATGTTCTGGATATTTCCATACTTCTTTGAATCCCGTATTCTTGAATTTTTCCCAAGCTTCAGTATGATGGATTATCAGGTATGACCAAGCCCAGCGACTTTGCTGAATTTTGGTTGTGTGCAGTGTGGGCAGGAATATAAATGGAAGTGGATATAATGGCAGTACTTATCTTTGGATGGGCCTTTTTGCATTTCTCACTGTCTTGGAGGTATTGGAAACTATGTGATGCTCATTTGGTGAAGTCATGCCTTTGATAACATTATCACACACTCCTATGCTTCATTATATACCTTCTGTCACCAGTCCATTATCTCACTTCTTTTGAAATGTTTTCAGGAAGATAGATTTTGCACTTATTTAAGCACATGCATAGTGCAGAAGTGAGAGGTAGCTTAAAGAATGTTCTGTTTTGTGCAGATGTTGAAATGTCGGAAGCTTGGTGGGTAATGCCCAGCTCTGATAAAAGAAAGTTTAAGGTCTTTTGTCTTCAGAACTGCTAGAGAATAAGCAACAACAATGGAAATTGTTGGAAAGTGTGATAGATGAAGTTGTCAGTAATAAAGCAATAGTCTGGCATCCATTCTATAGGTTGAATATTTACATAAGTGACTTTTGAGAGATCAGTTATGCTAAGTTTTATTTTCTCATATAACATCTTGGCATAAAGTTTGACATGGGCGTTCAAGACAATGTATCTTGTAGAATGAAAATTAATAGAAGAAAATTGCAAACCGATGCTAGTTCAGGCTGTATTCCTGCTAGTATTCAGAGATGAGAATTTTGGGAGCAAGTCTTTGGAAGCAATGCTGGAAACAATCATTGTTGATTGAGTTTGCAGCTTTGTAATTGTTTTGAGGTAGTTTGAGATGCACATCAACTCTTGTTCTGTCAGACAAGACAAACCGTATAGTTTTGTTTACTTTATAACGGGTTGCGTTCTTGTTAAACAACCCCTCTTTAGTGTCAAACAGCTGAAATATTATCCCAGATACCCCATACAGAAGAGTAAAAAGGAAGAAGTAAAGTAGGATAGTTGAAGTGTATTATGGCTTCAAAAATTTAAAAGGAATCGAGACAAAATACTTGGTGTAGAATTTGTAGTCTAATTCAGGGTTAGCATCTTCCAGATATAAAGAACAATTTCATAAGACACATACAAAGAGAACAAACATGCAAATAGTTCTGGTTTTGCTTAATACTTTTTTATAAAAACTGTTCTTTTTTCTAGGTAGATTATGATAATCATGCTCTATATAAACATGGTAAAACAGGTCGCAGACAGTCCCCTGTCCGTATCTTCACGAATCTCTCCCCAAGTGTGATTGTACTTCCTGCAGAAGAGGGCTATAGGTAAGTTGTCTTAAAAGTCAAGGGAGTGACTGAAAGAGTGCCTTTGTTCTTAGGGCATGAAGGCTTCAAAGGACTTTGGGATGTGCTGCTTAGTATTGTTTGCCTAACTTTTGGATACCAGGTTCAAGAGCACGTTTCACTGTTGTAGTTTAAGGTCACATGTTCTATAAGCAATGCAAAGGGGAGTTGAGCATTTATAAGGAGCTACATTTCTGTTGAGGAATGATAGGGATCCTCAGCTAAGCTGCATAAACTATGCATGTCCATGGGAGATAGAGATTTACAGCTATCCAAAATAATCAGCTTGGTTGAGACACTAGTTAATAACATGAACACTAAGAAGCATCAGGGACAAATGGATTTTACTGATAAAACTCATGTAGCAGAGTCTGGTTTGTTTGTTTTTGTTGTTGTTGCTATTTTGAATTCATGCACCTGGATTTTTACTATTTGTGTGTATCGTGTCTAAATGATTATGAAGCTGTGGGCCAAAGTGGAAGTTAATGAATCAAAAACATATTTAATTTAGTGAAGTGATTTTTCAATCCCTGTATTTATTGTAGAACTTGTATAAATTTCATTCATATTCTTCTTGAGCAAATATTGGACCAAAACACTTAGGATTTTATTTTTTCCAGGTTTTGCGCTATCTGTCAGCGCTATGTTAGTTCTGGCAACCACCACTGTGAAATATGCAATTCATGTACATCAAAAGTAAGTACTTTGCCTTCTTCCTGGGTCACAATATCAGCAGCAATCTTCTTTCAGGTGACAGTAGTCTTAATAAGTTTTATGATATTTGCTCTGATAAAAAAAGCTATTTTGATACTGATTTCTTTGGGAAACCCCAGACAATTCAATTTGGTTGTCTTCTTCACTGGACATCATAACTTAATGGGAATTAATTTCTTTCTCCTGATTCCTTTGCACTAGAAAGAGGACTGGAAAAGTTACCTACTTGTCACTTCGACCATTCCTTGTGCATCACTGGTCTGTTTACACATTCATTTCTCCTTATGTGTTGGAAGTTGCAGAACACACTAACTTCCAAATGTAGCTGTTTTACTGTGATTGATGCAGGTTCTCAGCACTACTGTTTTTAAGTGTGGTCCTTTCTCCATGGGACCTGTTTCTGTAAATAGTGGGTGACATACATGAGTAGTTTGGTTTTAGGAGATAATCAGCATTTTTTAAAAACAAAAAGTGCATTTATTTATCTATTAATTGTAGGATGGCAGACGGTGGAAGCATTGTGTTCTTTGCAAGAAATGTGTGAAACCCTGTAAGTACAGAAAAATACGTACCTAAATAAAAGGACATTTAAATGGTAGTCTGAAGATACTGAGATGACAGACCAGATAAGTAAATATTCTGGAAAATCAATGAGATGGGATCATGCAGAAGACATGGAGTAAAGGAAAAATCTCAGTTTCACACAAGTTGTTAACTTAGTTATCATATTTGCACACAGTGTAAATATACATAAGTTCTTGTCAAGGCTAAATCTTACTTATATTTTTAAAGGGAAAATCTATTTAATATTTTGATTTGCCATATAAACGTTTCCTAATTTTGTAAAGCTTTGTGTAAGAACTTTATAAACACAGAGACAATTGTGAAAATGTTTCTAAGAGCATTATTAAGTTATGTTTCATACACAAATGCAATTGTATTTACAGCTGTGTTTAAACAGCTGGAGCAATCAATCTTGTTGTTGATATAGAAATTGCATCTTTGTAAATTCATTTTAACATATGGGCTATTTTTCATGTTAAGATCCCATGCAGGATAATAGTTCTAATAGCAAAATAATTCAATTATATTTAAATAGAATCTCTAATCGATATTTATCAAATAAGATAAAGGACCAGAAACTGAATACACACATCTCTGAAAATGTAAAAAGAAAAAAAAAATCCTGGTTAAACAGCCTGTATTTAGAATTCAACTTCAGGATGATAATTCTGAACCTTCTGAAGATCATAAACCATGTTGCTTATTTTGCAGCTTGGTTTCACTGTAACAAATGCAACTGTTGTGCTCTGGAAAATCACACATGTGAGAAGATTGATGTAGGCTGCTTTGTTTGTGGCAAGGCAGGTCACAAACGCAGCACCTGTCCCAGCCTCTCCTGCACCAGAACATCTCGCCAGTAAGTGTGATACTGTGTTATTGTAATGAAAGAGGTTTCAGATGAGAAGTGATTTTATTTCATGGAGATGCTTTAGGAAGAGATAATTTAAGGTTTTGTGTGCTGTCATCTTAAACTGTTGTCCACTTGCTGTGTTGCTGGAGAGTGCATACAAAAGGAGGATATGATAAAACCTAGCATCGCTGAGGCAGGTATCTTCCTCTGGTTCCCTGTTCCTTAAATGTGTTTTTTTTTCCAAATGGATTCACACAGATCTCACAGAACTTTCTGAGTGGTGCATTGATAGCACTGTCAAGATGCAAAATTAATCTAAAGTAGTATAATATTTTAATCCCCTTCAGATTCATCACAGAAGAGCAGAGTATATAGTTGCTATACTGTTTTCATCACTTCTTGTCTCCTTTGCTTTGTTTTCAAACCTTTTTTTTCATCTGGTATTTCAGGTGTTCTCTGCAATAGTGTCTAAATCTGCACCATATGACAACTTTATTAATGAGAGCATTTTAAGTACACTTATGCAGCCATGACTATAATTCTTTAACATACACAAGCACATACTTGTCTTTACCAAAAGACAAAAAGTGCATGTGGTGGTCTTCAGATAAAACTATCTGAAAAAAGGGGTTGCTGAAGATGGTTCAGTGAGAGAGTCAGTCTTGGCAGTTTAGCATAGCTGGCCCACGCTTCTAATAGCCCCTGCAGAGCATGTTTTGGTTTTGTTTGTGATTCTCACCTTAAATGGATGTAACACTGGAAATGCAGATCTTCCCTCCCAAAAGATGCACTGTGTTGCACAGTGACACTCAGTGGGTCTCTCAGGTCAGCAGCAAGCTCAATGGCAGTGGACTACAGGAGTGTTACTTCACGCCCTGCTATGACACTCATCCAAATTTTGCTTATGGAGTATTAGAGCTGAAGTGTAGCTGTACTTTATATTTAGTATATTTATATGTTGCAGTACTTTATTTTCTTGAAAAAGTGAAAATGATACTAAAAGACATTCAAGCAACCTCATCTGTTTCTTCAGTCAGGTACACATTGTGCTGCGATGGTTCAGTCCTTTCATGCCATCGGTATGATGCTGATGAACTACTGAAAATAACTTAGGCTTATTTTCCTACTAAAAATATATAGAAACGTTTTCCTTATTGAAATTATTCCATGCTTTGTACTATTAAATACATTCTTTGTTGGAGGCAAAAAAAAAAAAGAAAAAAGAAAAAAGAAAGAAAAACCACTTGCTAACTCTGTTTGGGTCCTGTGTTTATATTTCATCATGTTGTTAAGTCTTATCTACTTTCTTCTAAGCCCATCTTCAATATATTCATGTAGAACACATTCAGCACAAAAGTCCGCATGTGCTGTTTTGCACTTGGGGGTGTGCAAAGATAAATGCTGAGTAATAACTGAAAAATAAAAAATGGCTGTGAAGTGGGCGATTTTAGGAACAGTCAATGTCAGAACATCCTAAGATGGCAACTCCTGGGACAGTACTTTAAGGTATATGCACAACTCGTATGAAATACCAGCAAACACAGAAGTCCAGTCACCATTTTATTATAATCTTTATGTTCTTTCTTTACAGAGCTGGCAAAGGCAGAAAACAAAAGCAGAAAACCTTAAAAACTCTAAAGAGGGCAAAGGTGGGGGTCTGTAACAGATGGGCCATGAAGCACGCCGTGTTCTCCAGGAGGAAAATGAAGAAGAAGAAAAAAGACGAGACTACTTGATACAAGATTATTCAAGAGATTTTTTTTACGGCCAGCCTTTCTAAAAATGCTAATACCAACGGAATAAAGCCTGATCTAATTGAAAGCGACAGTCCTTTATATTAAGCATCGTTACAGGAACGAACGTGCAAACGCCTTGCCGCCTATTCGCACAACACGACTGTCCCGCATGACGCCCCGTTCCGCTCCGCCCCGGAGCAGGAAGCGCCCCTCCGGAAGCCGGCAGCGGAGGGCGGGAGGCGGCGCGGCGGAGGTGCCCTGCGAGCGGGAGGCCGCCGCCATGCCCGCCTTCCGGCAGGTCGGGGAGAAGCAGCTGCCGCAGGAGGTCGTCGTCATGGCGTGGTCCCCCAAGAGGGACCTCATCGCTCTGGCCAACAGGGCGGGAGAGGTGAGCACGGCGCGGGGAGGCGGGCAGCCTCCTCCCTGCCGTGGGCCGCGGTGAGGGCTCAGCGCTGCGCTGCCCGCGGGGCCGGCAGGGACGGCTGACGGCGGGAGCAGCGCGGGCTGCGGCGTCATTCGGTTCGAGTCGCCGTGCGTGCAGGAGCAGCAGCGTTTTATCGAGCTTTCTAATGGTTGTCACTCGCTCCAGTTTTAGTTTCCGTACCGATTCGTGGCATCGTGAAATGATTCAGGTTGCAAGGCAACTTAAAATCCGTCCAGTTCCACAGGCTTCTGCCCCACCAGCTCGGGCTGCCCGGGGCACATCCAGCCTGGCCTTGAACACCTCCAAGGGTTGGGCACCCACAGCTTCTCTGGGCATCCCAAGCCGGTGCCTCAGCACCTCTGAGGGAAACATTTCTGCCTAAAATCTGACCGAAATCTCCCGTTTTACTTTAAAGCCGTTACCCCTGTCTTATCACTACGCTCTTTGAGTCCCTCCCCGTCTTTCTGTTGGCCAGTACAGGTCGGATTCAGTGAGGTTTCCCCAGAGCCTTCTCCAGGCTGAACATGCAGAGTTCCTTCAGCCTTTCTTCACAGGAGAAGATGTGTTCCAGCCCTCTGGTCATCTCTGGCCCTGCTCTGGACCTACTCCAGCAGCTCTGCACCTTTCTTGTGCTTGGGCTCCGTGGGGTTGAGCAGAGAGGGATAAGCCCCTCCTTCTCCCTGCTGCCAACCCTCTGTTAATGCAGCTTGGGATACAGTTGGCATTCTGGGCTACAAGTGCATGCTGGCTCATGTCCAATTTTTCATCCACTATCACCCAGATCCTTCTCTGCAGAGTTGCTCTCAAGTTCTTTCAGTCTGTACAAATATCTGGGGTTGTGACCCAGGTGCAGCACCCTGCGTTTGGCCTTGTTGAGTTCACTAATTATATTCTCATTGCCTATATCAGTGATATTCTAAAATTTCATCGTTTTTTTCCTTCCCAGAACTGCTGCATGTGATCATACATGCTGAAAGACTTGTGCTTTCGGACTGTCTTTGCTGGAGAAGTGTGGGTAGCCCCTGTTGGTTACAGGCATCTAGGTTTATACAAAGTACAGTTTGTTCCTCTGTATTGCTCTGCAGTAAACAATGTGGTGGTCTCTTAAACCATGTGGGAGTGGAATGTCTGCTAGGAGAAGGAGTTATTAAATAATAGTAGGAGTTACTAAAAATTGTGAGAGATTGCATCTTGAATTGATTTACAATGATTTTAATGGTTTTATTTAAAACACTGTTTTTATTTTTCTGTCTTAAATGTGTCTGCTTTATAGGTTTTACTTCATCGGCTTGCAAACTTTCAACGAGTCTGGAGTTTGCCTCCAAATGAAAATACAGGAAAAGAAGTGACTGCTCTTGCTTGGAGGCCAGATGGCAAAAGTAATGTCAAGTATATGCTATGACTTATTGCAAAGCAATCCTACTGGAAGTCAGTGAAGGTTGTGGTGATGATACCTTTTGTATGGGAAGGAAACTTTAAGAAGACTGTGTTTGAATAAAAGGATGGGTTAATGATATGTATGTTTATTAAAAATATTTGGGAAAGTTGCACTGTTGAAAGCAATTGCAAGAAATAATTGCAAGGTGAACTTACACCCAAAATATTGCTTTTCAAGGTGTAGCAAGGTTTCCTGTTCTTAACTAAGCAGAATATTTTCATGTGAAATACAGAATTTACTTGAAGAATAGAAAGAAGTTCTCTGAGCAGGACTGTGTTAGAAGTGCTTGTGTTCGATTCAGCATGTAAATACACAATTGTGGGATTGGGCTTTTGACTTAAATATGTCACTTAAAACTATGATGGGACCAACAACCCTCATTCTAATATGCAGGTTTCAAGTGATTATTGGGAAAGTAGTGTAAATGGGCAGAGGGAAAATACAGTGTAGTGATTGACTATGAAGGTGCATTGTTTTCTAGTTCAGTATAAAGTACAAAGTTTTGCATGTTGGTTATTTATATATTTTACTCATCTTTTTGTAGTTTTGGCTTTTGGCCTTAGTGATACCAAGCGGATTATTCTGTGTGATGTAGAAAAGCCTGAAAGCTTGCACTCCTTCTCAGTGAACTTGTCTATTACTTATATGCATTGGATGGAAGTAACTGCAGAGAGCAGGTGGGTCTGAAAAACAGAAGGTAAATTATGGACTATGTAGCACTAACATATTTATTATGTATGTTTTGCATGTAATAGGAAGTAAAAATAATATTTTGTAATTATGTTGTCTTACTGCTTGATCTTAACCAAAAGGAAAATTTTAACAGACGCTTCTCATGTGCTTCTTTTCAGTGCTGAAATCTTAGTCTTGTGGTTCTTTAGGTTATGCACAATATTTCAGCATCTAAATGTTAACTTGTGCATCCTATCTTCTGATCCAGCTAACTTTGATACCAAGTAATTGTAATAATGTTATTATCATCTGTTTTGTTAGAAAAAGTTTTATAGTTAAATCTTTCTTCACTCGTGCTTTCAAGACCTTCAGTTTGGCATTAATATTTTTTCTTAGCCTTAATTTGATATGGCACCTGAATGTGCTGACACTTCTGCCATGGGAGTGCTTGCATTAGGAAGTCAGATTGCTTGCAGAGACTGTGAGCTTTGTCAAAGAATTCTCAGTTGCGTTTGTGAGGCTGGGGGATGTTGTGGTCCCTCCTTCTGTGGTCTTACAAAACCTCTGATAGGCAGTCCAAGATAATAACTAAAACATTTATTTAAAAATGAGAGTTTGGGTAAGTATTTCCCACTATGTTTCCCAAAAGTGGAAATCTTAAAATATCAAGAAAACCACTGTATTAAAATATCAAGAAAACCACTAGCATTCCTCTGATGGGGACAGACATGTAGGGAATCTAGCCTCCAGACACGTGTAAAGTGTGCTATTAAGGACTGTAGTTGGCTATTCTTTGTACTGTAACACATATCTTTGTAAGAAGCTTTGCTGAGGTGCAGGTAGGTTAGCTGCAGGGTTGTATAGGTTTTCAAGAGAGAGCCTCCATTCGTGACTGCACCACAGATAATGGGTGATTCAGTAGCAAGGTACTGGGCCAGCAAATACAAACTTTACTTGGTGGAAATCATTTTAAAGATTATCAAGTTTCTTTTATTAATCTAGTTTTTTGATATATTTAGGATTACTATCTGATATTCGTATCTATTTAATATACGTGACATGTTGAGTGTATGCTGGTAACTTCAAAGTCAGTAATTCTCTTTTCCTCTATTTTAACAGTTTGAGTAGCTAAGACAATGTCATTTCTTTTTCAGCATTCTCACTTCCTTTTACAATGCAGAGGATGAGGCAAATCTCATTTTGCCTAAATTACCAGCACTACCAAAAAAGTAAGCCTTAAACTAGAAAGCCTGGGAAGACAATAAGTTGCACTTGTTGTTTTTGTTATGTCTGCACTACTCTACTGGTGCATTGAGTTAGATGCCTGCCTAATTCACCTTTTTTTTTTTTTTTTTCTTTTTCAGTTATAGTACCACTGCGAAAATTTTCAGGTAAGAAACTGAATTTTTTTTTAGTTTTTTTTAGGGGTTTATGTGTTTTGGTTTTTTTTAGGGGGTTTCATAGAATCATAGAATGGCCTGGGTTGAAAAGAACCACAATGATTATGTAGTTTCAACCCCCCTGCCACAGGCAGGGTCACCAACCACAAGACCAGGCTGCCCAGAGCCACATCGAGCCTGGCCTTGAATGCCTCCAGGGATGTGGCATCCACAACCTCCTTGGGCAACCTGTTCCAGTGCGTCACCACCCTCTTAAGTTTCCTTGTTTGTTTTCTGCTATTGAGACAAAGTACCTAAAAAACATCCATATCTTTTATATTTTCAGTGAAGAGAAGTCAGATGAGATTATGAAGCTTCTGGGTGATGTGAGGTAAATTCTGTTTGTGTGTTCTTTTCTTTATTTTTTGGCTTTAAAATAACAAAGAAGCTTACTTTAAAGTTATTGATAATCTGTTTTAAGGGTTCTGGAGAAAAAGTGTGGAATGTTTCATTTTTTCGTATATGAAGAAGTTGTTTACGGAATATACTAAAAAACATTTAAAGTTTCAATCAGTTTACATCTTTTCTCCTTGGCTTAAAGGGATTGTCAGGCAGCTTATGATCAACTGCTGTTGGTGCTATATCTTCTTTTCCTTGGAAGATTTCTTGAGGCACACTTAAAGGCTATCTTGTATGGATTATTTAAGCTGGTCTTGGAGACACCATGAGTGCTTTAAAATGAACATCTCAAATAAGGAAGCACGAGGAGCACCTGGAGGATGTATAGTCTAGTAGACTGAGACTGTAGAGTGCTTGTGACACAGCAGGCAATCTCCCTGTGCAAAGTGTGATGTTTCAAATGTAGACAAAAAGTGAGAGGTCATAGAGAAGTATTTTTCCAAGTCATTGTGTAGCAAGTTGATTTTGGTAAGTGATCAGAAGAACACAAATCTATTTGTCCCAATCCTATTTTTTAAACTAGGTTTCTGTCTCTTTTGCTGTTTTTGTCTCTGGCTGTTCTTTGCTGCTGTATCTTTTCTATGTTTTTATTTCTGCTGAGGTTTTACTGAGCAGGCCCACCGTATGACAGTGACAGACTTACAGGGGAAATGAAAAAGTAGCTTTATAAGAATGCTTTGCAACCTGTACTGGTAGGTGGGCTGTAAACTGCTAGTTTTTTTCCACAAGTCTCCAGTTAGTGAACTAACTTTGTGTTAATTTTTTTTTCCTTCATTCAGCAATTTGCTATATGATTTTGTTTCCTGCAAGTTTAGACCCAGTTCTCGTCAATCAAATCCAAGCTAGTAATATTTTTCATTTAGTTTTTAAATTTCTTGGATTGTAGACAACAGCACAGTATTTGTTTTAGTGGTTTTCTAGAGAATCTTTTAGTAAAAGCAATGAAAATTAAATATTAAGAATTATTTTTGTTTGCATTAAAAAATGACTTCAGATAGTTTAGAAAAAAAAGTTGTTTATTTTCATATGCTCATCAGATTCTTCTGTTTTTATAGGCTTAATGCTCTTGTCCTTGGTGGCAGCTCAGGGTTTATTGAAATTTATGCTTATGGAATGTTCAAGATTGCTACAGTAACTGGGGTATGTTTATTTCTATATATTTTTTCTTCAGTATATACCAAACTACAGCTGAATTGAATGAAATAATGCATCTGTGGGTTTACATGTAACTGAAACTGGATTGCTGAAATTTTACAGAAAGGAATAATTATTTCTTTGGATAGGGTTTGTGTGGTTATTGCTGAAAAGACATTCCACTCTAACTGGTGATTTTAACATCTTGTTTGAAAAGTAACTAAGCTCAACACTAATCCATGTTAAAAGGGGTAAATTTTTCTTGAACAAAATTCCCCTTTGTTTTTAAATGTCATTGAACATAGCTTGCTTTGTATGTGAATGTGTTACAGCAGTAAATACATATGGAAAAAATTTAATATTTCATTAACATTTAAACTGGAATCCTTCAGGTGGCAGGTTCTTGTCGTGGACTCTGTTTATCTAGTGATCTGAAATCACTATCGGTTATTACACAAATACAAGACTCTCCTGACAGTGAAGCAGAGATAACTTATTTTCAGGCAAGTAAAGTAATCTTAAAATGTAAAATTCTTTTACTTCTTTTACTAAAAAGTAAAATTCTTTTACTTACTGTCACTAACTTTATCGCTTCCTGTTATTTGCAGGAAAAACCTGCAACAATTGTTTTCAGCCTTTCTGAAATGCACCCTGAATTAGCTTTTGGATTTATTGCATTGGCTTGCAGTCTCACAGATGAGACTGACTGTAATGCACTGAGACGTTCTGATAAAATATTACTTCAAGTATAACATTCATTTATTCAATTACAGTTACTTCATTTTTCTTCATTCTGAAAAAAAAAGTGTAGCTGCCGTACTGTTCATCATCTCTTCTATCCAGAACAGTCATCCTTAAAACTATTACTGTTAGAACTCCAAAATTAGAACCATTCTAAAGAGCTTTTATAGATAGATTAAAATACTAATTGCCCTGTTTTCTTCTTAAAATCAACTTAAAGAAAATAAGAAATAGTAAGTTTCTCTGTGGGTCCTCTCCATCTGTGTTTTTATTTCAGTAACCCAAAATTGTTTAAAAAACAAATGATCTGTTAACTGTTCTGTTTGTTATAGCTGGACACCAGTCTATTATCAAGTTATTTACCTGAGGTAACTCGAATGGCCCGAAAGTTTACTCACATTTCAACACTGTTACAGGTATGGTTTCAAGTCTTAGAAGCTTCAATATTCTTACAGGAAGTAAAATTTTTCTAGTAGGAAACTTCTGTTGGCTTTAAGTAAATGTGGAGCTCTAGCTTGAAAAGTTGATTAGAAATTTCATATGATGTCTGTAATATATATCTTCCATTTGTGTTACAACATCCAGTTATTTAATATGTACTGAAGGAGAAAAAAGGGAGTAAGGCTAATTTTAGTGTCTGTATTGCAGTATATAAACTTGTCATTGACGTGCATGTGTGAAGCGTGGGAAGAAATATTGATGCAGATGGACTCACGGCTAACAAAATTTGTACAGGTATTGTAGTATGAACTGATCTTTTGGAAAACTGTTTCTGTAGTAGATCTGCTGTTCATGTTAACTACATAGTACATTATCTTAGTGCTGTTTGTGTAAGGCCTCCAGAAAACAGTCTCTAAGTTCAGAGGCAAACTGCTGTGATGCTGCAGATGTCTGAGAACAGTGAAGTGTGATTGCATTGTGATAACTCCTTTATTTTGTTTATTCTTTGTTATTTAAAAGCAGTATTTTTTAGCTTGCACAGCTATTAACAATTGCTTTTTGTTTAAGGTTGTGTTCTTTCTACTTCAGTCACTAATAAACTGTGTATTGTAAATGTTGAGCAGCGGCCAATCACCATTTTCAGCTTAACTCAGTGGAGCATATGTATCAGATAATATATTTACATATGTTTTGTGTGCATGGCTAGCAGTTAATTGAATCAAGTAATTAGTGTATATATTTTTAACATAGATTCTTGATGATGGAAACTGCTTAGAATTTTTACTGAGTATTACAACTGAAAATAATTGAAAATACTGAACTTGAATCATTGAATTGAATTGAATTTCAAAAGATCCATAGTCTGATTTCAGCATTCAAGAGTAAGGGTGGGTTTTATAATGTACTTTATTTGAGCTGTCTGTGACGTTATTTGGTAGGCTGAATGTAATCTCTTTACCAATCTATTTCAATCATTTTGGCTGACAGGAAAAGAATACAACCACTTCTGTTCAGGATGAGTTTATGCAGCTGTTGTTATGGGGCAAAGCAAGGTAGCTACTGTTGTTTTATCTGAATATGCATTTGCATCTGATACTAAAATACAAAATGAAAGCATATTTGGTTTTCTCTTCTCTGTCCCTTTTTAGTCTGGAACTGCAGGCATTATTAATGAACCAACTGACAGTAAAGGTATGTTAATATTATTTAATGTCTTAGAACTATACATTTCAGTATCTGTTAATCACTGTTCATTTACATTAAGAAAACATTATTATTTTTCTTTTTTAACAGGGTTTAAAAAAGCTCGGTCAGTCCATAGAGTCCTCCTATTCCAGTATACAAAAATTGGTTATAAGTCATTTGCAGAGGTATGTCACTAAATATCCAATAAATTTTAGATTAAGTGGCATTTTATGTTCTTTGCTAAAAGACAGGGTGCAGTATCAGTAGTTCTTATATGATACATGGTAATACACCATGTACTAATTTAGTTGTGGATGATTCAGAGCTCGTATTTTGAACAGTCTCCGTGGAATATAAGCTATATATCACTGCTTGGTATTTTTATAGGAAATGTTCCCCAATAATGTGTGGTGGTCAAAGCTATAAAGACAATGCTTGCTTTTCTGCAAATACTTTCTTAGCTCTTACATTCCAGGTGATTTTATAAAGTTCTCCACTTTGCCCATTAAAAGTTAAAAAGTTGGTGCACAGTGAAGCAGTTATCAAACCATGACTAAAAGATTGGTTCTTTGCTTTACTTTCCTAGTGGCTCAGAAGCACTTTTATACTATTTGAGTGAGTTGAAAGGAATGGCTTTATGGAAACAAAAATACGAGTCTCTGGGATTAGATGCATCTGGAATTGAAGGTACAGTAGTGTGTGTCCTACTTAACTACACTTATTTGACTTTTGTAAGCATAATGTCAATGGCTTGCTCTCTTCACAGAGGCTACTACTGCTGTCGGTTCTTTCATCCTAAAAGCAAATGAGCTGCTTCAGTAAGTATAAAGTCTGAAGAATTTTAATAACTTGGCTACTGTGGCTTGGGATTAGAGAAAGATGGCAGGTATGGCTCCTCTGTTGGTGATGAGCTCTTGTCTTGCTGCATCTCGTTGGCTTGTATGCCGACAAGAGTCTTACAGGGAGAGATGCATTTGGCATTTTTAAGAAGTTGGTAATACTTACATATCTGTCTGTAAGAGATACAGAATTTAAACCTGCAACAGCTTGTGACATCTGGTAACTTGTTATTGATTGTTTCTTCTGCAGAGTTATTGACAGTAGTATGAAAAACTTCAAAGCATTTTTTCGATGGCTGTACGTTGGTAAGCTTGATGATGTAGTAAATATTTGGGATCTATTTTGTAAATACCAAAATGCCAACAGTTAATTATGCCAGTCTTAGCTATATCCATCTGTTTATTACTACCATAGATATTTTCTGCAATTTAGTAGGGTAAGTAAAGCTTAATTTCAGTCCCAATTCATAATTGTTCTTTTCAGACTCTTTAGCTTCTGACAAATTAATCCTTCATATATTATCAACAGTGTCATATTATATAGCAATGAAAAATTAAGAATATTAAGAAAAAAAACATTAATATCTTTTTTTTCTCCTCAGCTATGTTGAGGATGTCAGAAGATCATGTGCTTCCAGAGCTGAACAAGGTAGTACTAACATTTTCTCATTAATAGTGGTATATTTTGTTTTCTGCTTGACTTATAGAGCAAGATTAAAAATGTATTTTTTGTTCCAAAACTTAAAGGATGTGCCTGTGACATTTCTTTGAGAAAGCTGATGCCTGCACATTCACGCTAACACATTAATGTACTGTCTTGCATATATCACTGTTACTGTTTTCTTTTAATAGTGCAGCATATATGACCCTAGTCCTCTGTGAAATACGTGTATGGTGACTCTTTATATGCCCTAAATGATGAAGTTAACAGGAATCAGATTTTAACATCTTTATCTGAGAGAAGAAACAGATAACACCTGCATCTGATCTGCAGTCACTACCATAGTGGGTGTATCAGCTGATGTGCTTAAGGGCAGAAGGAGACGTCCAAAGGGAAATAGGCTGCAGGAATGAACTGATAAGGACCTCCTGAGTTTCAACAAGAACAAATACAAAATTACTCCCAGGGAAGAATCTGCAGCAGCACAGCCCTGGTTAGCTGGGAAGGAGGTCAGCCATGTTGGTGGAGGCAAGCTGGGCATGAGCCAGCAATGGGCTCGGGCAACAAAGGGCAGTATAGAGGAGCCAGGGTTGTTCTAACAGCATTATGGCCAAGAGAAATAATAACCTTCCTTATTTAGCACTAGTCAGATCATATTTGGAATACTTTCTCCAGTTTGAAGCCCTTCTGTACAAGACAAATGTGAATAAAAAGGAGAGATTTCAAAAGAGGGTTTACAAGCTGGCGAGGGTCTTCAGTACTTGCCCTGTGAGCAGCAATGTATTGGCCTTGTTCAGGCTATAGAACATGCATTCTGTGCTCATTTATATGCAATTCTCAAACTTTGTTTCCCTTTGCTCCATTTTTTGTTTCTTTTTTATTTTAGATGACTCAAAAAGATATCACGTTTGTTGCGGATTTTCTTACTGAGCATTTCAATGAGGTAAGTAATCCTAATTTATTGACAGCAGTGGTACTTGATTACTCTGTTTTTGCTGCTAGTAATTGAATAGGAACAATTTTAAGTAAAATAATTCCATCATCTTTTTGTGCCTTATTTCTTAGTCACTTTGGGTTTCAATTTTGGTTTTGTTTGCATTATTATTTTTTTTTTTCAGGCTCCGGAACTTTACAATCGCAAAGGAAAATACTTCAATGTGGAGAGGGTCGGCCAGGTAAAGAACTAGAGAATACATGGAAGGAGGAAAGAAGAGAGAAAATCATTAGATGAAAAAGCTTTTAAAGTTGTGCCCATTTTTCTTCTCTGTCCCCTCTGCTATGTATTGTGCATTCCAGTCATAGTAAACAGAGGTTATTGTCAATATTTTCTTTGTTATTAGATAAAGAAAAAATTATAACATTTTATAGTTTTTCCTTACATACACAGTATTTTAGGAAAAGGGTGAAATCTCTTTGCAGCCAGCAATAGTAGTGTACAATTAAAGTCTACTCATTGTCTTTATGTTGTTAGTCACTGGATTTCTAAATGTTTGTGTTCAAGTATTGTTTGAGAATCAGTTGCACATGAAAGTGCTACTGTATGATATTAAACAATAGTTGATTTCTTATTTATTTCTAGGAGGAGTGGAATATTATATTTTAAATATAGACATGTTATATTTAGAAGGAATGTTTAACTTGTGGGAGACAGTATGGGGCTTGGACTAGATAATCTCCAGAAGTCCATTCCACTCCTTACAATTCTGTGATTATGTATTGTTGGAAGTGAATTCTAATATTGCTTTTTTAATTTTTAATTTTTAACTTGCAGACTTATAAATGTCTGTTTCTTTTCTAGTACTTGAAAGATGAAGACGAAGATCTTGTATCTCCACCTAATACAGAAGGAAACCAGTGGTTTCACTTTCTTAAAAGTAGTACTCATGTTAAAGGTAATGTGTGCTTGAGTAAAACAGTGAATTGAAGGTGTGTGGAGAACTTAACATAAGAGTAATCCTTTTTTTTTTTTGTGCTTAGGAGTTAGTTTCATATTGCTCGTCTAGGTGGAATGAAATACAGGGCCCTTAACTTCTCCTCTAAACCATGTGCTCTAGGCTTGTTAGCAGCTTACTGGCCCTTCCGGAGACTCACTCCACTGTCACTTTAGTAGCAGTATAGTATATTTTTATAGAGTTATAAACATTTTTTTAATGAGCTTTATCTGTTTGCAGAAAGTCCACTTTTGTTTCCCTACTATCCTGATAAATCACTGCATTTTGTCAAAAGGCAGATGGAAGAAGTCATTGATCAGTGTTTACAAAAGCCAGCTGTAAGTGCAATTTATATAAATTATAACTTTCTTCTAGGGGTAACAGTCAATTGAAGATGGTGATCATGCTTAGCAAGGCCTGAAATTTTAATTTTTACCTTTGAGTGCCTACAACGTAACTGGCAGAATGCATTCCAGCTTAACCACTACTGAATGTCTTAAATTCAGTGGAGGATTTTTTTTTTTGTTTTGTGTTTTCTTTGCATTCTGTTTACCTTCTGCATTGATGAGAGCTATTTTAATATTAAATAATTTGATATACAAATTACAGATTAGATAGCTGATTAGTTGACAGTACATCAGTCTGTATCTTCTGAAGAAATATGAAATAGGTGTGTTAAGTGACAGTGTTTGTATTAGTGATAGTTATTTCAGTGTAAATATTTGTGGACTTTTCTTTCAAATACACTTGGATTTTATTCTTTTTATGTATTTATTGATTTAGTTTTCTTAAGAAGGGATATATCATGAATGACTTGCTTTTTCTTTGCTCTTTTTATTATATTTGTTAGGATGTGATTGGAAAGTCAGTGCATCAAGCATTCTGTGTGTCTCTCTACAAAACTTCCCGAAGGTATGTTTTTAACATTATTTCTGAAGTTCAGCTGCACAAAATTATAATATTATTTTGTACACTTGTTTTGTTTTTCCTTTTCAGTGAAGATTCCTCACCTCAGTTATTTAAACTACCATTTCTGTAAGTATGCTGTTATTTCTTGTTGTGTGTCATTTACCTGTTCTTAAAATATGGTTTAACTTCTCATTTCCTCTTTCCTCACCTAACATTACAGGTGGAATGACAAAACATCCAACATACATTATGTTCTCTTTACCATATTAGAAAGTTCTATTTCTAAAATACACATTTTAAGGAGACATACAGATACTTCCAGGTAAGAAAAAGGGAGGGAAGGGGAATGGTTTGTGAGACTTATCATATGTATAGAGACAGTTGCAACTTGAATTTTTTCTGCAAAAAGAGAGATTGAAGGACTATGAGCACAGTCCTTCTAGGGTACTAGAGAATTCACCAAAGTGGAAGGTGTTGAGAGGTGCAGTGGGAAACTACAGTAGGAATTCGTATTTTATTAAACTCAGAAAATCTGATCAAAACATCCAGGATGTTTGTGGGCTCAGGAGGAAAAGGTCAGGTTCCCTTTGTTTTGCTTCTCACGGAATTACTCTTTGTGAACTAAGAAAACTTGTAGAGAATCAGGCTTACCATGTTCATTTGTCTTGCTGAAAATACTGTGAACTCCTTATAGCCTGTGATTTAAAACACTAGGGAAAATGGGGTGGGTGGACATGTAGGTTCAACAAATATATCTCTTTGGGATATCATTTTTGCACCTTCAGGAATTTCTCTACCTAAGGTGCAGTGCACTGACATGACCTGGGTATGGAAAACAACAAAAACTACTCCATAAAATAGCGATTTTTATAATGTATGTTGTTTAACTTGAGGAGATGATGAGCTATGACAGGGTGAGAATTTTTAGAACATTTTTACTGCTGAAGGAACATATGATGGAAATACCTCCTGTTTCTGGTTGAGAGCTTCTGAAGACAAAATTATAGCCTTGCGGTGTAGTTTCTTTTGTATTTCCTTCCTCACTGGTATCTTCATAGAATCATAGAATGGCCTGGGTTGAAAAGAACCACAATGATTATGTAGTTTCAACCCCCCTGCCACAGGCAGGGTCACCAACCACAAGACCAGGCTGCCCAGAGCCACATCCAGCCTGGCCTTAAATGCCTTCAGGGATGTGGCATCCACAACCTCCTTGGACAGCCAGTTCTAGTGAATCACCACCCTTTTTGTGAAAATTTTCCTTGTAAATCTTAGGTAGTATTAACTCATGTTCTATAGATGCAAATAAGAGGTAACTTAATGGACTTGAAACTAGGACAATTGGGCTGAGAGTTCAATGAAGAACTGTATCCTACAACCCAGAAGGACTTTCCCATTTGGCTCTTTTAGTCACATTTTGCTTGAGAGGCAAGAGAAATCAAAAGGTTTCCATCCACTTGTTACATCATCTGGAGATGTAGTCATATGCTTTGTAAAACAGATGGGATTGCACCATTTTGTACTGCAGTTGCACTTTAAGATTTTGGATTTTCTACAGATGGAAATAAAATGTCACCAAGAGAATGGTCTGTTGGTACCTTTAGGTCTGTCGGTAACGGAATTGTTGCAGTGGAGTTTGGAAACTTCTTGAACAACACTATAAATGAGAGCTCAGACTCCAGGTCAGTATGTTTAATTGATTCTTCTTCCAGGGATGCAGACTGTGGTATCGAAGACCGTGTTTTTGAGTGTTCATTTTACTTGAAGTTAACTTCTCTAGCATTATGGTTTGGCTTTTATATTCCAAATTAGCACTTCACATTCTGCAAGAGCTTGTAGTTCCCAAGTGAGTTGGGCCATAAGACATGGTACAGGTGCGTGAAGGTGTAGGATGGTAAGAATCTTACCACACAGCCATTTAGGCTTGAAAAGACCTTCAATATCACAAAGCAATCATCAACTGGACATACCGGGTCCCATCACTAAAACCTGTCCCTTAGTGCCATGACTGCACATCTCCTAAATCATCACATGATACAGACTCCACCACTTCACCATTGCAATGCTTCACCACCCTCTCCATGAAGAAATTTTTCCCAGTATCCATTTTAACCTCCCTGGTGCAGCTTGAGACTACTGAGTTATCTTGCACGTAAGGTCAAGTAAGCATTTTAGTTTTCTAATCAAGAAGTTGAACCTTGGTACATGTGCAGAGTTAGTTGGGAACAACTTTTTCTTATATCAGTAATCTTAAAATAAGATAGAGACTTCATATTCCTGAAGGAAGGAATCTCAGAAGTCATGGCAGAGTAAGTTCATGCTTTTAATTTAGAAAGGCCTGATGTGGTACTGATGGCCCTCACCATCACCAACTGTTTCCTAATTTTCCTTGCTATTTGCGTTAACTGCAGTGTGTTAGTTGCACAACTGATCTTTTCATTGTTTACAGTAAGGCTCACTGTTAACTAATGAATACTACTTAACTTGAGTGCTGTGCAGCATAAAAATATTTTTGTTCTATGATCACTTTTATTCCTTGTTGCTTCCTAATATGTAGGTATTATTTTATTTCGTATAGGTGCTACAGTTGTTTAGATGCACATTTTTATGATGATGAAACTGTAACTGTAGTTCTGAAGGAGAGTGTGGAACAAGAGGGGAAGGAGAGAATCTTGGCCCAGCTGCCTTTATCTTCGGTATACACAAATGAGGATCAAGAAGTGGAATTCATCTGGGATTCTAGTAAAAGGTGGGAACAGGCAGTATTAAAAACAAGTTCAAACCAGTCTTGGCCACTGTAATAGGGAATCGCATACAGCTCTTGTAAGTGGTAGTGAAGAGATATGTTGATCAAAGGTCACAGAGGTCACTTCTGTGTAAGTGCAGACATTGCCTCCAGAACTTTGTTCTTGTAGAGGAGAGATTTGAAGGAAAGTCAGCATCATCTTCCTGCCATAGTTGTTACCTGGGACAAGACAGGACTGATACAACTCCATTCTGTCCTGTTGTGATCTCTTGCAGCACTCAAAACATGCTGTGTCTGCACAGTTTTATCCTCTCTTCTAAAGTATCTGGAGCATATGGAGTTATGATTTTAAATGCTTGTCTATTTGTTGCATATGGTATAGTAAAATCTAGACACAAAAAAAAAAAAACAACCCAAACCTGGGGCTGACTGGGGTTTATGTTTTTGTTTTAGTACTGAAATTTTCTTATGTTTTGTGCATCTCTTCTTGCAGTTTGGCTGAGCAAAGTGATGAGATAGCAACACGTACTGTCTTCTTGGACAACCAGTGGAGAGTGCTGGAGAACATGAAAGCTCAGTATGTTGCTGTAAATGGTATTAGAAAAGTTTCCTGTGTGGTAAGTACATATCTGTGAACAAGTCTGGATGGGAGGGAAAGGAAATGCTCTATAGCTAGAGAGAAGGATAGTCTGTAAACCTCATAAAGTTAACAGAAACAAAAGTCTTGATAATCATCATTTCATTTCTTACAAATTAATTATTCTCTCAGAATCTATTATCAATTTGTCAGAACAAAGCCATGCCTGTGAGACAGGCATTACATAACTTGGAAAAAAATTAATAGCAATTAATAGATAGACTTGCTTTACTTTACAGTTTGCAGAGCCATAAAACAATTGCTAATTTCTATGGTACCTTCATTTCGAAGATAAAGGCTATTTTCAGAGCTATTGGGCAATACATAAATTGGTATCTGTGTTCTTTTTAAATTACTTATTAATCAAGATTTCTTAATACTTCCATAGCTAAGTTCAAATCTTCGTCATGTGAGAGTGTTTGAGATGGATGTAGAGGATGATGGAGAAGTTGAAGAAGAGGAAGAAGAAGAAACAACTCAGATTGCAGCTGGGGAACCTGAAGAGCTGAATCGCTCTGTGGATAACGAAGACAACGTGTGTGGTGCATCAGCTGGAGAACTACCTGATGAAAGTGAAGAAAATGAATCAAACCTGGGTCTTTGACACAGGTTTTCCCTGGTAAAGGGAAAAGACTGAAATCCAGCTTCTGGTTACTGAGATGATGTTTGCCATACCTACCCTGCAGCGTTAACATGTTGTGTGTTCTGTATTACTTCTTAACAAAGACCAACTATGTTCTAGAATATACAAGCTTGACTTTTTTTTCTTGGCACAGTGATTTGGTAGGGACTGTTTCTTGCAGAGGTTTTCTATTTGCAGTTTTTTGTAGGTGTAGGAAAAATACTAACTGAAGTTTTTTATGGTTAACCTAATCAGTTCTGAATACTGTTCTGAAGATAAAATGAGCGTGTATGTGAAAACAACAAAACCCTAATTTTTGAAGACCAAAACCACCTCCCCTTGTTAGACTTTGTGTTCTACTAAGGGGTACAGAAACTTCTTTTATAGCTACACTTCAAGTGTAGCTATAGAGAACAACAGGCTTGCAGACCAGCATAAAACTAGCTGGACACGAAAAGTTAGCAGCTGTTACTTAAATACTTTTAAAAAGCTATTCTGATAAAAATCTGTGTCCTCAGTAATACAGTATTTGTTCAGTCTGTGCAGTTCTTTAGTTCTGAGTACAATGTGTGTGTTTTGTCAGAAACCTCAGCCTGCCTAGTTTGTGTAAAATTGCTCCTGTATTTTTCCTCCTGCTGTTTTTTTTTTTTTTTTGTAACAAGAAGTTAAAAGAGAATATTTTTTTAATTTGATGTGGCATTGTGTGTCTTGTCAGGCTTCAGCAGGACTATGTTGCTTGCTAATTTATATATTGTTGTAGGAGTGGTGCAGTGCTAGCACTAAAAGCTGGAGGTGGCATCTGGAAATCTGACATCTTTTCTTGTTGCCTAGTGGCTGGCTTGAGCCCTTAACTATATCATCTCTTTTAATGAACAATGCTGCTAAATGCACAATCTTCCTTTTGGAACAGCATGTGTATTTTTTATTTCTAAAAAGATCCAGGTCTTATACATGTGCTCCGTTCTATATTTCAAAAACAGATCAGTCTTCTCAAACTGCTGTTTGGCACTGCAGAAGTCACGTGTTAGATTCATCCTCTTGTTTTGAAATATGCCATTTTTAAGTCACTTTTTTTTTTTTTGAGTGCACTTCTTGAGATTTTTAGTTTGTTTGTTTGAGGGAGACTTGTTGTTTGTAACTGTCCTAGAAAGCTGCTGGCTGTTCAGTGCTCTCATCTTACAAATGGTTGAAGGCACAAGGAAGGTGTGGAACAGGAGGGGCAGGAATGCCTATTCACGTGTGCCGTGCATTTTCCACGTAGATCAGTTGTTCTTGATGAGAAATTGCTGCAACTACCGAACCAATTCAAGTCAAGCTTGGCCTTAAAGTTCTCCTGGAAATTTTTGCCTTTGAATTTGCTTTAAGAATTGTCACGCTGGAGTGCTTGGAAACAATTGTTTTGCTGTGTTTTCTGCTAAGTAGCGTTGGTCTACCAGCATATGAAAATGTGGTCTGCCCTGCCCACAATTTCTAAATTTGTGTTAATAATAACTGTGTCCTATTTCACAGGGATGTGTTCTTTAGAAATCTCTCTGGGCTTGATCTGTGGGCCATTCTAGTCATTGAGTGAATGATAACTTTGTTTCTGGCTTGAAAAAGTACATACACACTTTCTGCTTTTCCCAGCAACATGGTACAAATGTACAGTTTGAGTCAGTGCTTCTGAATGTCTTGCTGTTTCCTTCTGTCTTAATTTTGCTATCTTATTTCTATAATAGTAAATGCATCAGCAATATGCTTATGTATCTTTTCAAAGGAAAACATTTGATCTAGTTTTTGAGGATTTTGATGGTGTCTGGACCTGCTGGGACTCGCTTCTCACTCCTCATCTTTTTTTTTTTTTTTTTTTTAATGCTAACGGAATGGTCTTTCAGCCTTTTTCTGCTGCAAATGAGTTCTTATTCTTTCTTGATAGCATTGCAGTATGTATATATTTTATATATATATATTTTTTTTTTCTCAGCCATGCACCCATAGTTTGCTCTTTGTAATACTAATCTTTAGATCCATTAAGAGTCAGCTACAGCTGCTGCTTTTAAGTCTGCTTCTTTTTCATGTGTGGTGTTTCTAACTATTTTGAAGATTTCTTGCATCTTCTATTCTTCCGCCATTTGGTTTGTGTAGTCCCCTTTCTGGACCTTTGGTCTGTGCTTTTTCTGCCTGATCTCTGCCTAATGTGCAACCTTTTGCACTGCCAAGTTTCTCTTGCACTCTCAGCAGTTAGTGCTGCTTTGCTTCACAATCTGTGCGTGCCGTGATCTGTTTGTGGCACTGTTTCCTCCCACTTCTGTGGATTTGATTGCTCAGTCACATCTGGCTTCATATGTGACCACTTGAGCTGTTCACACAGACAGGAAGTATGTAGAGAAATACTGAACATAGACTTGATTTAGTTAACTAATTCTTTTAAGCAGACCAGGAAAGAGAGTGTATTTCTGTAGCATTATCTGCACTTGTTCCTATTGTTTCTTATTCTGAAAAAACAAGGGTTTTGCTTGTTTGTTTAAGACAGTATGTAAGCTTCAACAAAATGGAAAAGCCATGTCGGTAAGCATTTAAGTTCTACGTTAAGTTTCTGTAGTCAGAGTTGGCTCGTGTTGTTGCATTCTGCAGTAATAGGTACCTTAAATGAGCAATTGCTTTTGCAGGTGACTCTCATTTCTTGCTTTAGGTGAAGAGCCAGCTTAACTTGTGTCATGAAGCAAAGGCACAAGGTCAAAACAGTCAAAGAATGACATTTTGGAGAGGGGAAGAAAGACTTCAGCAATCCATTCATAAGGAGATGCATATGAATGAAGAGAGCGTTTGAATTTTCATAGTGTGAGCTTCAAGGAAGGAGATGCAAAGTGACCTAATGATCTCTAAGGAGAATGCTGCCATGGAAGAAGGGGGAAAAAAAAAGAAAAACAAACAAACAAACAAAAAAACCCAAAACCACTAGGAAACTCTGGGATAAAAAGAAATGAAATGCCCCTTGTAGGTGAATAAAGTGCATTCAGCTGTACCTTCAGGTTGAATAATAGAGCTGCTAGCAAATCAGTCGGTAAACGATTGGTGCCAGCAAAGCCCACGGTTGAAGTTACAATGGGATATAAATATGTGGGTGTTCTGGCATTCTTCCCCCAGGGGGTATTGTACAGCTACTGCTACCTGGCTGTCTTACAACTGTGTGCAAATGATGTAATCATGCCTGCTACTGTGAATCAGAAGACCTTGGGTGGTTTTTTTTGTTTGTTTTTGTTTTTGCAGTTCCCACAATTAACTTAGTAGATAAAGAATCCTATCAGTTTTCCTTCTTACATATCTCACTAAGAACCCTACCTCCTAGGGTGAATTTATCCTAGCAAAGAGAAAAAAACTACTTAGGACCTACTCTAGGAAGTAGAAGACCCTATTTTTAAGTCTGTATTATCACCATATACAAGAAATTCAAACATGCCCCAGCAGAGCTCTTGTGTGTTGGGTCAAGTGTTGGAGTTCTTTTAGTACATCACTGAGTCTGTTCTGCCTTGAACAATCCAATTTGCTTCACTGAAAAATCTTTTGTTTTTCGGCAGCCTGGAGAGCTGCACACGTGAGAAGGTGAGAGGTACAAAGTATTCCCTGAACGGACCAGTAAAGCATCACAATACCAAAAATGAAAAGCCCACTCTACCTTTCTCACTTCAGTGATTCTTCTACAGATTTAGAGCCACGTCTGTGGCTCTGTTTTGCCCTATGTCTCTCTTAAATGAGTCACTACAACAGCCTGATCTTGCTCTTTTTGGTTGCCAAGAGAGTTCACATATAAATTTTGTACTGAAGATGAACGCTTGCCCTGAGGTGCAGTGAAAATCATTCTCTTAAACAACCACTACTGATAAGAATCAGAGGGGCAAAGGTAAGGAATTTGTTCATCTGGTCACATATTTATTTTAGACTGCTGAAGTAACCTGCGGTTTCCTGAGGATAGCAAAAGGCTTTCAAACGCTGCAGACATCTGAAGAAAATAAGTTCTGCTTTTCCAATCGTTGAATTAACCATGTTCCCTTTATAATGCAATCCTACTAGACTGGAAGCAAATGGATAATATCTGCACTTAGTCTTTTATAAAGGCATTACATTTGTTATGTCCCCTCTCTTGCAGCTTATCAGTTTACAGCAGGTTCAGCGCTCCAACTGTTCAGACAGCGTTCAGAAGATGGAAATGCAGGAGGGGGTGGAGGAGAGGCACTGTGATTTCCAGGCAGCGTGTTTTAATTTTGATTTCTTTTCATCAGTTGCAAGAAAAAAAACCAACGGACTGTTTGCATAATGCCTGCTTCTTTTGTTTCTAAAAAATGTTAGGCCGGGAAGATGAAGTGGTGAGTAAGGAAGAGGAGAGTTCTGTTTTGTTTGGTTATTTAATGCTTTTATTGTTGTACCTAGAAATAAATCTATTCTAAATTGTGTTACTTTGTAAAGCATTTTTCAACATCACGTAATCCCTTGAGAAAGGGAACACAGCATACATACGACCTTATTTAACGAAACCGGTATCAAAGCCCACCAGTTCATAAGCTATGGCCACTGTCAGTTCAGTTCTTGCCTTACGATACCGTGCAGTTCTGTTGTGCGGGTGAATCCTTTCTGTGCTTCGTTGCACAGGGGAATACTATTTCTCGAGTTCTCCTGGTAGTCACTGAAACGGTGCAGGATCTTAGTAGTTAAGATAGGTATGAATGGGAATGTCAGGGTGTGGGGGAACAAACTGCAACAGACGGGCTGTGAGAGCGGTATGTGCTGAAGGCACCGAGATTAGCGGGTCTTCAAAGTCCTGCAATACGCGTCCATGCGGGTCGTCAGGAAACAAAGGACCTGAGCAGTGAGCGGATGGCTCTGAGAGGCAGGGCGGGACGGCGATTAGGGATACAAAGAGGCCTGTCCGCAGTCAGCACACGACTGCCAATCTAAGAAGAGTCCGAAGTCGGAACGAGTCGGTAGCTGCTGCTCCTCGTCCTGAGCGTTGTCACAAGCGGTCCTGGGCCGAGCTGGGTTCTGTAATCTTGCCGCTTGGATGCTGCTTCTCGAACGCATGAGTCCAGGTACTTGTGAGTTTGAGAGCATGAGTGCAGATGAATTAAATCAGTTTGGCTTTAAAATTAAATCCTCTTCCCTTCTGATAGCGGATGGCTTTAGGGCTTGCGGTGTTGCCGCTACAGCGTCGGCTGCTTGAGAAGTGCAGGCGGGGAGGCTGCTGGTATCCGGGCGGCTCTCAGCGTGGACCCGCTCCGAGGAGAGCAAGAGCTGGGTGCAAGGCTTTCTTAGCAGTGTATCTTTTGACATCGTTTTGGAAAACTAAATCAGCGTACCAGCCCGGAGTTCAGGAGTATTTAGATTTTTCGGTGATATCTATTCATCATCTTGATGTTTGAATGCAACTTAAAAGCAGATTGCTCTGGGCCGGGTGCCACCTTTCCTTTCTCCCTGTAAAAGGTCACTGCAAGTTCCTGGTCACAAATGAAAGAAAACTCTGTCCTTAAAATCTGTAGGGTGACGGTGAACGACTCAGTTTTACTAGGTTTGGCCTGCTTCTTGGCCTGGTGTCCCACAGAAGTTTAGTACGGAGATTGGAGGTGTTGTGGTCATGCGGAGTTAGTGATAGCATGGCTTAGCAGCCGGACAACGGTGAGAAAACAGACAAAACCCCAAACAGAAACAACGGACCTGTGTGCTCCGCTTGAAATGGAACAGATACTGATGTTCTTAAGGCAAGGCCTTCAAATAACAACTGACGAAGGCTTCTGCTTTCTCACCTGCTGGTTTCACTTCTGCCCGTGTCCTTCGCTGCAGCTCCCTGCTCGCTAGACAAGTCCCAGGGCTGCTCTCTGCTCTCTAACAGTAACAGCGGCTAATCTGAAATTAGAAGTGATTGTATCTCTGGGTTCTCACTTACACTTCATTCACATTCAGATGATTTTCTATCTTCGAAAAACTGATCATTATTTCAGTCTGCAGTGTACTAGGAGTGCCGTGCTCCCAAATAAGAAGCAGTTTGTACCCGGGAGACCAGCAGTTTAGTGTGAGTATATAAAGACGGTTCCCATTGTGTTCTCACTCGAGTAGGTAAATTCACTGCAGAAATTGATGGTGTTTTTGTCAGTGGATGCAGATACTGTTGTATGATGTGTGTGTTTGCACGCTGAGAGTAATTGCAGGTGACTAGTGTACATTATAACGTTTGTGGGCAGTTTTTTTGCTCTGGTTCACAGTAACTCCGTTCAGCCTCTTTGTTCACAAAATACACCTTTATATTTAGACAGATCACAGGAAACCACGTTTTCGGGGTGATAGTATATCAAAGGTGGAACCGAAGCGAGAGAGTGAATCCAAATGTGCTACGGACATATTTCGATGAGAAGTCGAGAGAATAATTCTTTGTTTTTCTACCCCTTCCTTTTTGACTTTTTTTCTCCTTTTCTTTGCCTTTGATCCTCTATCTGATCTTAAAAATATCCAAGACTTACTCTTATCTGGGTGCAGAGGCCTATCTCTTGAGTTCTTAGCACATTTTTACCCACCCAGTGTGTTACCGTTTACCTTCTAACTGCATTCCTTTTGTATACTGCCTTTTCAGTTTCTAATTACAAACAAGCCTCAGGGGGAATCTCTAAAAGTCTGAAGTCAGTATGGATTTGCTACAAACTGCTTCAGTGGCCCAGCCCTTTGCTTGAAGGAACAGCCTTCTGCCTTTTTACCTTTGGTAGCTGTTAAAAGGAAGAACAGGAGAAAGGTCTGTGTCCCTCTGCGAACTCTACGGCCAGGCCAAAGCCAAGATTTGCTATACGTGTGTATCTTAACAATGTTTGTTTAAAACAGCAATACATCTGCTGCAATACTGATCCTAGACATTCAGAATTGATTTGTTACTGTCGCATATTGGGACCTGATGCATTTGGTTGCTTTTGCACCTGCCACAGCTCAGGATAACCCTCTTGTAAAATCCCTTGCAAGTGAAAAATATCCTGGTATCTGAGAACAAGATGGCCTTGCCAATGAGGTGTGAATCACTCCTGGTTCACTCGATGCATCGCTTATCTTACTGGGAGGATGTTCCCCTGCATACGCAATGAGGGCCTGGCTGCTCGACTTGTTCTGAAACCTAGGAGTGAAAACGTGCAATTTCCTGATGCAGAGAAATCATAATTGTCTCAGGATTTACATTCAAGGACTGTTGCCACTGTTCCATAAATATAAGGCTAATTATACTGTCTTGGTTTTCTCTCTCCTGTTTATTAATTTTTAAAATAATTTTAAAAATATGTAATTGGCAGAAGCTTTGAAATGACCAATTGTCAGATTACAGATGTGATATACATCTCACAGAGATGCAGTTTCTGTTTTGGAGAAGTTAGGAAAGACAGAGAAAGAAGTCTTATATATATATATATAAAGAAGTCTTAAATGAAGGGATCTAATGGCTCGCTCCAGAAGATGGCACTTCAGAGAGAGTTGCTTTGAACTGTGATGGCCTAAGTGTAAGGGATTTTAAACAGGCTGCAGTTGGAGAGAGAGATTTTCTGTCCCTGCAGTGGAATAACTGATGGACAGCTGAGCTCTGCTGTGCTGCTCTCACTGCCCCTCCTCAGAAGGACAAGAGGAGATAATATGATGAAATTCATCTTTCGCTCACAGGATATGTTTTGGTCATGAGCTCTGGTTCATGGGTGGGACTTGGTAGCTACAGCTCAACAGCTGTCCTCTGGCCTACAGCTTCAAAGCTGTGTTAGCAGCAGGCTGAATTCACGGGGAAACTTCAGACTATTCCTGAATGTAGTACTGGGATCACAGGAGAAGCTGCAGGTTACTGTTAGTGAATTAACCACCCCACTGCACGCTTCTCCAAATGCTTTTACAGAAGCCTGTCTTCACCTTTTCTAATTCTCAGACTGAGAACGTGAACATCACTGGAGAACTCAAAGCAAGTCTTTCCACAACACAGGCTTCTTTCTCTTCACCCTTTGTGCCTTGGGGATATAGCCCAAGTTGGTATTCAAGTGATGATATTTTAAAGCAAGGCATTGAAATGAGATCAGAGAGAAGTATAAATCTGGCTATTATGTTTGGCTCTTTCACAGCACTTCGAGGAGACCATGCCTCTCAGACCGTATCAGCATGACCTGCAAAATCAGCTCTTGGTGTTCTGCAAGCTCCGAACTCACACCCTCATTGGAGTGCTTCCAGCTATGATGATATGACATCCAAAGGCAAGATAAAATCTGATTTTGAACTTCTTAGGATACTTAAAGTACAAAATGATAGCAAACTTCTATAGCTGTTCTGCTAATATTGTTTTCTGTTTTGTTTTTTTTTTCTTTTTTGTTTCCCTCAAATCACTTTCAAAGTCACTATAGCCGTTTGTGATCAAGTTCTAAGAATACATGTGTGTTTTATCAGGTAATTTCGTGACTTTGTTTTCAAATGTAATTTATGATTTTGCTAATTTACAGCAAACTGCTGTGATTATCTTGGATCTCAGAAATTAAGTATGAGTGGGTGAAGGCAGGAGTCCAACAAGAGACTTTAGGTGCTACATTGAATACCACTGGTGTTTTAAGAAGTTAGTAGTTTATCTTGATCTCTCAATGAAGGTTGAACATCTGATTGCTTTGGTGACTGTATTCTCTCTCCGAGCTTTTCATTATTGTTCCCCTGTTCATTAGCATAATGTCTTGCATGTATTTTGTCTGATCAGTTTTGATTATTTGATCAGTTGTGAAGCCAGTGCTGCTTATATCATGTAAGCTGGCCCAGATGACTTTGTTCCCGAGAGCTTTGCTGCTTTTGCCTTTGCTTGAACAGTGGTAGTAAGCAGGCATGTTTATGACAATGATGACAACATCTTTTCTCAATTTACGTTCTTAAGAAGCCAGATTTGGCAGTAAAATACCATGTCACTACATATCAGCATTTGGAAGCAATGCCAGTTGTGATAGTTTCCTAAAACTCCTCCTCCCAGGACAGAGATTTGTCTTAAATTTAGTGTCCTTGCTGAATGCATTTTGCATTACTACTGTTGTGTGTCAGCGCTTCAGCAGCATCTGAAAACATTGCTGCTTTGTGACACTTTGAGGTTAGAAAGTATTATCAGCGTCTGCTTTGCAGGATGAGAAACAACAGTTTTCTCATAGAAATATGATTTCACTTATCTTATATTGTTCTAGCTGCTGCTTTGATATAACAGGCTTCCATAGCGCAGGTCTGCTCCTCCAGCCAGCTCTTGGTAAGTGGTTTGCCTGAGGTGAGCAGCTGGTGGAGAAACAGCACTGCTGGAAATCTGGTTTCTGCAGTCGGGGCACTGGGTTGCTATTTTCTGGCCCCGTTTTTGCTTTCCACTTCCCACTTTTTCTAATATAACTTTATTTAACTCCAATGCAGACTTAATCACTTACAATAATTTTTGTTAATACTA